ACAGTTCTTTGTAGCCCTTTAGGTTTGAATTGGTCTGGATTCAAACCTCAACGTTAAACTGGATGAAATAATATTGGAAAGCAGAATCTCTCTATACTTGCGCCCTTGAAATTCCACTGCATCGTGTTATGAAAGTTGTAAAAGATAATATTTGTATAAATTAAAGCTATTGGATACTTATGGTATTTCAATTGCTGCTTCATTAAATTGTCCTCCATCCCTGAACATCCACAGATCTATTCCATAGCATTTTTCTATTTTAGATTTAATCTACACAGCTACCAAGTGAGAAAGGGGCTGAGAAAAGGGAATTGCCACTTTAAATTGAATGTGGGGAGAAAATATAACACTGGTGAAGCTCCTGCTGAACCAAATGCAATCTATTACAGAAGTTTTAGATTTCAAAATGGTTACCAGGACTTTCCTACGCCCATTAACTTCCCAGACAGGTTGGCATGGTATTTTCAAAGCTGTTTTCTACCCTTTTGCAATGTCACTGATGCCCTTCAGTTTTGAATCAAGGCAGGGGAGGAGCAAGCTTTGACTCCAAGGTGGTTTTCAAGGGATCACAGCCAATCAGCTTCAGGCTTTGCAGAAACTGGGAGCCTAATGAGATGGAACTGAAACCATTAAGGCCACTAGCCTATGTTGTGACCATATAGTTCCTGCGAGATGTAAACAGACAACTTGGGACCATTTTACCTGCAAGATCGCCTTACCCCATATATGAGAGATGCTGGTGCTGACTAGAAGGTATGCTGTCAGATTAGAAGGAAGGGTAACAACAGGAATATTTAAAGGAACTATTGGAAACTCAAAGCAGTAGAGATATAAGATGATCAGAGCCCCACCGAACTTGAAGCATGGGAAATCCCAATAAAAATTTATAATTTGGCAGAATATTCGGATTATATGATATGTATTTGTATAATTTGGAATATTTAATGTGATTGGATTGGATTGTTAAAATGGAAGATTTAATAAAAAGTATTTTTAAAAAAAATAAGAAGAAGAAGCTATGCCTTCAGATCAACAAGTTCTTGCCAGAATCAAGTGATTTCATTTCTTATTGCTTTAATCTCTGTATGTCTGCAGGATGGAGGGGATGAAAGTGGGTTGTGATTTTTTCAGGTTTTCTTTTTCTTTTCTTTTCTTCTTTTTCAAGATTATTTTATTTCAAGATTCAAAGTTACATTGTATCACTCAACAGTTATAATCCTTATTCTATAATACTAATGACTTCCCACTCACCCATCCTCGATGTTTATAATCACAGTTACATACAATTGTTTTGTTGTTGCTGTTGCTGTTGTTTTAGGTACACATTCCAGACAGGCAACAACACTCAAGGGTGATACAAAGTAAAGTGGTCTGGGGAAAGAGAGGCTATAGCTGATGCAGAAGTGTAACCAGCAGAGAGTCTGAAGGGCCAGATGTAGAGGACTGGAGGGCCGCATATCTGCTGCCGCCCCCTCTGAGCCTGAACTTCCCCACCCCTGCTCCGCAATGTATACTTAAAATTGGCTTCCCCTAGCAGGCATGCCCTGTGGGAGAGAAAGAAGGCCTTGGCCTGTGAAAAAGTTAGCAAACGAGGGGAAGTGAACTCTTTGCTATTTTAACTGTTCACAGAGAGGGCAACTTAGCACTGTAAGAGAACATAAGAAATTCCGGCCTGAGGAACTCAGAGGGAAAAGCAAATACAACATGGAAGAAACAAAACCTTGCAGTACCAGAGCAAGGGAGGGGAAATAAAGCAATTAAAGACATCAGCTGAGACTACAAGGAATCCCATTAATTCAACAGGCCCAGCAGTTAATTAACAGAGAAGCATCATCTTCATCAAGCCATCCCAATACTAAGCATCTCTTTATTTGCAAAGGGTACAGCCATTCCATTAACCACGGTAGCTCAACAAAACCCAGGCTGCTCCTGAAATGAAGCTGTTGAGTTGTTAGTTCAGAAGAGAAACAAACACACCCTTTCCTCGGGGGCTAAAGATTTTTTTGGCTAAAAGGCTCTTTCCGCTCTGCCATGCAGTATGTACAGCATGGGTGGGGCAAAGCAGAGGCAGATAGTGGTTGCAATTTAATTAACCCCATCCTGTTGGTTGGATCGTCTGTCTTCAGTCCTTGACAGATCAGTGCCTCCCGGATGATTTTGAAAGGCTGGCTGGGCATTGCACAACTCCCTGTTAATTTGGCGTCTGGACTAGGTGAATGAAGCTGTATCAAACCCGGTGGCAGAGTCACTGCTCAGCATGCAAAAAGGTCTCTGGCTCAAGCCCTGGCATCTCTAGGTAGAGCTGGCCTGGAGAACTGCCTCCAGTCAGTGTATACCAGGGGTCAGCAACATGTTTCAACTGTGGGCCAGTCCACCGTCCCTCAGACCATGTGGTGGGCTGGACTATATTTTTTTTTGGGGGGGGGGGGAATGAACGAATTCCTATGCCCCACAAATAATCCAGAGATGCATTTTAAATAAAAGGACACATTTTACTCATATAAAAACACGCAGATTCCCAGACTGTCCGTGGGCTGGATTGAGAAGGCGATTGGGCCGCATCCGGCCCCCGAGCCTTAGGCTGCCTACCCCTGAGGTATACAGTACTGAGTTAGATTGGCCAATGGTCTGACGCAGTATAACACAGCTTCTGAGATAAGTGAGAAAAATCGTAATATCGCCGGAAATAGATATATTTGTCCAAAATTTATATATATATCTGTATGTGTGTAAGTGTGTGTATTTGTCTAAAAGTGAAGACTAAAATATTGTCTTCACATTATGCTCTGGGCTCAATTTAGGGACTATTATAGTTGTTGTTGTTGTTGTTTGTTGTTGTTTATTGAATTTATATACCACCCTGTACCCAGAGGTCTCAAGTGGTTCACAGAACAACTTAGAGTTGACTACATAGAGTTGCCAACTTCCTTCTGAATAGGGCTTTTGTTGGGGTTTTAAAAACAATTTTACCGCATCTCAAAATTGATCAGGGGAAAGTTTTTCCAGGCATACTTAGTTAAAAGTAAACTTCTTTTTTTTAAAAAAGTTGCTTTTTACTATGATTCAACAGCATTTCTACTTGCAAAGGTGAACCATGGCAGCAGAGAACCTGGCCTAGCCACTTTGCTGGGACTCATTGAGGCCTTTCACTGAGCAAGGCAGGGAGGAGGGGGAGACGGAGAGCCTTGCTGAGTGGGTAGCCAGTGGTAGCTGAGTGGGTAGCCAGGGCAAGGAAGTGGGAGGTAAGCAGACAGAGGAGTTGGGGCAATTAGTCACACACACACAATCCCTGATTAAAACAATTACCTCAGCTTGGCTCGTGATATCATAGCCACCTTCAAACAGCCAACACATGGAAGATGGAGCTAGCTTGTTTTCTGCTGCTCCAGAGGGTAGGACTTGAACCAATGGCTTCAAGTTACAAGAAAGGAGATTCCGACTAAACATCAGGAAGAACGTTCTGGCAGTAAGAGCTGTTCATGGACTCCCTCCAAAAGTGGCAGACTCTCTTTCATTGGAGGTTCAGAGGTTGGATGGCCATCTGTCTGGAATTCTCTAGCTGTGATTGCAGAGGGTTCAACCCTTGGTGTGTCTTCCAACTCTACAATTCTATGATTCTATAAAAGCTCTGACCCTGTTTGGGGAGAACAAGAAGAAGCGTTTGGATTTGATATCCCGCTTTATCACTACCCTAAGGAGTCTCAAAGCGACTAACAATCTCCTTTCCCTTCCTCCCCCACAACAAACACTCTGTGAGGTGAGTGAGGCTGAGAGACTTCAGAGAAGTGTGACTAGCCCAAGGTCACCCAGCAGCTGCATGTGAAGGAGCAGGGAATCAAACCCTGTTCATCAGATTATGAGACTACAGCTCTTAACCACTACATCACACTGGAGTTGAGAAGACTCAAGATCCCTCAAGCCTGGAGTCTGCCCAGCCATTGTGCCATGCTTCTGGGAATTATGGGTGGGAATTATAGGTTCTGGAACTTTCCCACATGAAGAAAAAAAGTCTGTCATTGGGAAGCCGTAGATTATTTTTGTACAGAGCCTGGTTCTTCAGCCCTCTGCTAAGTCATGAAGCTTGTTCAATGACTGTGGACCTATGACTCTCCCACAGCTTAATCTACTTCACATTGTTGTTTTGTGGATAAAATTTAGGAATGGGCCCGCTTGATGGCCCATGGGCCTGATCCAGCAAGCTCTTCTTATAGCTGGAATCCTGAACAAGAGCACACCACTTTCTCTCTTTTTTTTTGGTAGGTCCCACTCATTGAATGAAAATTTGACACCTGTATTCAGAGAGTGTCAAATTTGTTTCAGCTTTATTAACAATTTCCACAAGTATATCTTGTTCCTTCTTTTCAAACCAAAGGAAACGGTCTCTGTCCCAAATAGGCCATTGATGAAGGATCTGATGTTACATGCGCAGTTCAGTACAGACGAACCATTTTCTTGCTTGCTTTCATTCCTGCCTTTAAGTGGTGATGGAGAATGATGCCCTTGCAGTAACCGTCAAGTTAACAGGTTGCTTGTCTCTTTCACGGACTGGATAAATCTGTGCAAACCTCCAAACAATTTAGTTTAATTACTTGCCAAGCCTTGCAACAAGGCATAAACCTGCATGTCGCATGTAGCATTACCAGTGGAACAAGTACTTGAATACAAGAGCTAGAATAATTTGACAGCTAATATAAAGCTCTGTAATTTATATTTAGTTATATTGAGAGGGGCTTTTTGCCCCTCCTTTCCCTTCTTTGAGCACTTCATATAAATATTTACTCAGATTCTGAGACCTTGTTTAACCCTCCAAGTACCACATTTATCTTTGATTTGATTTGATTTTTTATTTGCAGCAGAGAACCCTTTGCTTACTGTGCAGACGATTAAACAAAAGAGTGTCACCTATCAGCTGTTGCATACATAAACACCAGACACCGGTAATTATGATGTATTTACAGTAAAGTACAACTGGATACAGATTAAAGAAGAGACAAAAGATGTAGAGTTGCAATGATTTATTATAAACAATGTCTTTAAATTCTATTCCAGAGACAAGATGATAAGTCTGCTATGTTTAAGTGTGATCCAAATTGCTTCATAAATTATGGAACTGGGTGACATTACTACACAGCCTTCTTCTGAGTGCAAATTTAACTCTTATTCTGGGTTTAATTTTAGTTAAGACTCACCAGGCTTAGTTTCAGAACCTGTTTTCAATGTCAGGACTTATACCTGCATCATAGACATTCATAAATAATCAAGACAAGAGCACACTGAAACACGTACAAAGTGCCTTCCATTCACCGTTACTATCATTAAACTTTCTAACAATAGAATTGATTCCAGTCATACAATCTGGCTTCAAGAAAGGCTTCAACTCTGGCTCTTTTCATTTTATAAATGACGCACAATTCTTACCTGTGATTCACCTTTATTAGAGATTGTGAATCAGGTATATTTTGGAGTGGACGGAACGGCACATTGTGTCTTTGTGTTTTGTGCTAATAATAGCATTTATAAAGTGCTTAGAGAGTTCAAAGCACTACACATTCATCAGCTCAGCAATCCTGCCTCACAACCAAGCATTATCCCCATATTGCAGAATTGAGGGGAGACACTGAGTCTGAGAGAAAGTAACTTGCCTAAGGCCTGGTCTGCCCATGTAGCCGAATGAGATGGTGGTGTAATGAGGTGGTAGAAAGGAGTGTACCACTTCAAATACAAATGGGGGAATCACAGTTATAAACAATGTTCCCTTGTATTCTTTTTCTTTAAAAAAATGAAAGAAACCTCTGGACATACAAAACTAGCCCTGCCAGCAGCAGGCTGGTCTACAATCTTTGTCCCTGGTGCACTTTTTTGGTGGGGAGAAGGGAGGCAAATATTTGATTATTGTTGGTTTTTTTTAACAAGGGAGAAATTTACAAAAGGTACCCCCATCCAGAGTCTGAAATGAACTTGCCCTTGAAAATAACATTGTACTTTGAGGGGGGGTGAATGGAGAAACCCCAAAATGGGAGAAGGATCCAAAGTGAGGAAGACACGGCTGATGATTCAGCCATTTTTCATCGTGCTATTCAAGTAGGTTTGCAATCCATTTAGCTTCTTCTCCTGGTTCTTGGTCACCATGATGTGCAGGGCACTAATAGAGTCCTAATAGCCACATGCTGTAAAGAGGAAATTAGTGCAATCCCATGGGCCAAGTTCATCCAAAACACTCTCCCCAACGCACCAATGGTTTCACTGGATGGCCTTCAGCAAGTTTCCCCATCTGCAAAATAAGAACAATAGTAACCTTTCTCATGGGGGTTGTTGTGTGGACAAGACAATGTATAAAGCAATTTTTAAACTGAGCTCTGAATGATAAAGAAGGAAATAAGACAGTCAGTAGGTTAGAAACAAACATCATGAAGGCTTGATTCTGCTTAGTCTGTCCTTGCTTAGACTTGTAGCTCCAGAATAATTTTTATATACCGTATTTATTATACCCTTTATTATATATATATATATATATTATAATATAGTCATAGCAACAATGTATAGAAAGCTGATTTCCCAGACTATGTGTGAATCACTTAGGAGTTTCTTAGTTCTGAAATTTCTACTTCTATCTGCATGTGGCAGAATACAATTTAACTGTTGATCCCCAAGCAACCTGCCTACCTATATGCATGAAGTTCTGCCTAGGAACACCCCCAGCAAACAAAGCACCCGGGTCAATTAAGGGGTCCCTGGACCCATAACTGGACACAGGCACTCCAAACCACTGATCAGCACCACTGATATCCAGATCAGCTGACTGGGCAGCAGATACCCAGAACAAATGTGTGGTGTTTGTAAGTCTGCCGTTAAAGGGGTCTTTACTTAGAACTGTCAGACAAAAAGAGCAACAGAAAGAAGTATTTCATTACACCCAGTGCTAAAAGTAGAACAAAATGTTGCCGTATAACACCCTCCACTAAATAGAGCACTCCTGTTTATGCCAGCCAGCCAGACATGCCACCCTCCGAGACACAAAGCTGTTGGGAGTTCCAGCAGCCCAACTGCCCTTTCATTTTCCCCACCCCACCCTGCCTTCAGTTTTTCTTATCTAGCTGGCATTCACTGGTACCTGTGTCCACTGGGCATGCTCAGTGCTATTTGGCTCTTGGGATGCATGGGAATGTCTCTTTCTGTTTTATTTGTGGCAGGGTTCGATTAAAAAAACCAAATCTGTAAACATCAGGATGCCTTCCTCTTGTTTCTCAGCAGCCCAAACTCCATTTCCACCAGTACATGGGCACTAATTCTGCTATTACGGCGAGTGCAGTGCAGAATGTAAGGCCACCTTTCTGAGCTGAGCATCAGATACTGTTTCCAATCCCCATGGCTCACTGGAAGAAGCAATAAAGATGGAACTATCTCTGGGCATACACAGACTGTGTTTCCTTACCACAGTGTGTTGACAACCTGCCCTTCCATGTGCCTCTTTAATAATAATAATAATAATAATAATAATTAATAATAATTTTGTATTTATACCCCGCCCATCATTCTGGGCGGCTTCCAACAAAATATTAAAATACAGCAGTCCATCAAACATTAAAAGCTTCCCTAAACAGGGCTGCCTTCAAATGTCTTCTTAAAGTCTGGTAGTTGTTGTTCTCTTTGACATCTGGTGGGAGGGCATTGATCAGAAAGCTTGGCTTCTAGACAGACTTCTGAATCAGCATCTCTCACATTAGACCAGAGTTGAGGATCCTGGCCTTCAAGACTCTCCCCACATCACATGCACAACCATCCTTAGCCACAACAAACTCGCACCAGGCGACAGTCCTTGACTGTTTTCGCCTGGCAGGAATGTGTCCTTGGAATCTGATAACGCCTTTTGTCTGGAGGACAGTGAGGGGTGTGTGAGTGTAGAAACTAGCCTACTGTTTTGGAGAACATTGCAGGCCTTCCCCCAACTCATTTTGCTCCACTACATGGGAAACCAGGGTTCCAGGCTCACTTTTTCCATGGATCCCCCTGCAGCCAGAAGGAGCCACTATCAGCTTAAATCTACCAGCAAAACGATTAGATTCTTATATTGATTACCTACCCTCATGAGGCTGTTGAGAGTGTGTTGTGAGGTTTTCTTGCACAGTGCTTTACAGCATGGTACTAAGAGAGAAATAAAGATAGCACAGAAAAGCATGTGAAGCTTTTTTTTATAAAGATAAATAAATAAAAATCAAATTCATTTTTGGACAGCTTTGGTTGGAACCAGACTTAATTGTGCTTCAGGTAGACCCATTTAAATGAATAGGACAAATTAGTTATGACTAAGAAGTCGTGTTGATTTTAGTGGGCCCATTCTAAGCATGAGCAAGTCTAGGTCTGGCCCCTTGCATTTATACATTTGTACAGACATTCATATTTGCTGATAAATGGGTCAGAGAGCATATACAATTGATATAGGCTGGGAAACTGAAGATTTCCCAGTAACACTTCAGAAGACCCCTTTCTTCCTTCTCCAACCAATAATAGCAGCTGCCTGTGACATCTCTGAACTCTGCCGAAAGAATATATTTGGCTTACTGACTGCCAGTATTCAGTGGCTTTCTCGTGCAAGCAGCCTTACCACAACCGAAACTTCCCCACCACCATACCTTCATCTCAGGAATAATTTTTCCCCAAGTTTGAAATACATTGCTTTTCAGAAAGCACTAAACTTGCTAAAAGGACATGGCTTGCCTACCTTGCGCCCTGGCCCCTCATGCCTCAGGATATCATAAATTTTTGATACCAATAAAACAGAATTTTTGATGAGCTGCTATTTTGCATTAAAGCAACTTTACATGCAAAGATTGCATAATAGGAAGCAAAATTGAATTTTGCCTCAGAACAAGTCCTTATTATTAATTTAAGTGTTCTTATACGTCTTAGCAGCAGCTTATCATTCTATACATTTAATTCCTTTCTCGCCGCTTAGCAGCGGTTTCCTTAGCTAAACAAATCTTTTAAGGGAGCACATGTACAGAGCGTGGAAACATCGCATTTCGCATGGGGGGGAGAGCTTGAGAGAAGTAATGAAACTTTAAAAGGGGGAATAAAATACATTCAAAGGGCAGATCTTTCTCGCTAAAAGCTGCTCCTAACTGCTTGAGCAAAGCGATGAGAGAAAGGAGAGGGGAGTCTGTGTCAGTACCTTTTGCCTTACATATGAGTTCCTCTTCTGTAATTGCAATACACTTATTCTAATTATGGCCGTGCGAAGCAGAAACATCAGGAAATCATTGTCAAGCATGGGTTCGCTGTATATCCTTCTGCTACTCCTTTAACACTTCTGAATTGCCACTTTGCAGAGGAAAGCATGCAGCATAGAAAAGGGTTCCTCCATTCCAAGAGCACAGCTGTGCAGAAGGTTTGCTCCTGCCTTGGTCCAAGGAGCGTATCATTTATTTAAGGTGCTGTTCTAAACGGCGAGAAAAGCAAGCACAGAAGCCTTCCCTCTGCCTTATATAAAACAGCCAACCAGTGTTGCATTCTAGAAGTCCACCTTACAGAACATATTGGAATGGAGTGGGGGGGGGGGAGAGAGAGAGACTAATTCATGGAGGCATATAGTCAAAGGGAAAGCAAAAATTGTGCAGTGCAAACTTATGCATGCAGGGAGGCCAGGGGGCAACCACACACCCCCAACAGGAAGCTCTCCCCCAATTTACCCTCCCCTGTTATAATGAACTACTGTCATTAATATTTCCCCCCCAGACACTATTTGCCCATATGTCTTGCCCTTTCTGTACCCTCCCGAAGGAGGAGGGGCGTTTCTGCTGCATCCCACTGCATGCTTACCTACTTAGTAGTAAATTGCACTGAGTTCAGTGAGACTTACACACACACAGCCTAAGCCTACCCTTAACCATAAAGGGGGGAGAGAGGAGCAAATGTAGTAAAAATAATAATAAAGGTTAAGTTTCTTCTTTCATTTATTGGCGATGGGCTGCAATTATAAACCCCCTTATCTGAATGTCCTCCCTTACTGAATGTAGTCAGACATGGTTTTGAGCAGACATCTATATGGGATTGAACCCTTAATATATTTAAGGGAGGGTGTAAATCCGTCCCTTAAATATACAAAATGGACCTGAACTTTTTAAACCTTACCTGCTGTGTTTGAAACATTTACCACTGTTGTTTGAAAGCAGCAGAAACTTTGCAAGCCCCTGGTTCTAAAAGGTGGGAGACAAAATTCCTGAGCTTTACAGCTCGGCTGGGATTTGGTCAACCCGACCAAAGCCTTCTTTTCGCAGCGTCGCAGCTAAGCAGGAAAAAAGCAATGTCTACGCATAAACTGCGCAGGTAGGGCAGAGTGCCCGTTGTCCTTGCTTTCTGGGTCTGAAGAGGGTTCTTCCGCCATGCCAAAAAGAACAAGGCGAGAAGAATCAGGGAAAGGGCGGGGGGGGGCAGAAAAGAGCTTTCCGGCAGCTTTATCTGTCTGCTCTTGAAACTTGACACCCATCGCCCAGAAGAGCTCGGTGACCTTGCGCTGTCAATCAACCCGCGGAACCAGCTTGCTGGAGCTACATGCGGGCGTTTCGCCAAGTTAAAATATTTTTTTTTAAAAAAAAATGTTTTTTAAAACATCACATTAAAACCTAAAACACAGCTGGGAGCGGTTATCTCGCAATCCCCAGCTCATCCTAATAATGTTGCCAACCTGGCTCCTTCAAGGCTAACCAGTACTGTGCATGATCTAAGGTAAAGGTAAAGGGACCCCTGACCATTAGGTCCAGTCGTGGCCGATCTACTGGATTGCAAAAGTTGATCAGACGGGCATCTGGGGGGGGGAGGTTTTCCTGCGGAGTTTTTATGGTGAACACACACACACACGCACACCGAAAATCGGGTGTAAGATCCGACTGAGTCTTGCTCAGAGTAGACCCTTTGAAATCAATGGTTGCAATAGGTCTGCTCTGGCTATGACTAACGTCAAGTCCTTTGATTTCAGTGGATCCACTCTGAGTATCAGTCATGTTGGACTAAGTTTCTTTGCACACACGCAAACCCATTCGTGCACATCTAAAGCCCGTTTGCTCGGAAGTCCCACTGAATTTAATGCGGTTACTGCCAAGTAAGGCTGCGATCTTGCACACACTTCTCAGGGACTAAGTCCCATTAACTGCAACAAGATAGTTCAGTCGGTAGAAGCATGAGACTCTTAATTTCAGGGTCGTGGGTTCGAGCTCCACGTTGGGAGAGAAAAATTCCAGCATTGCAGGGAGTTAAATTAGATGACCCTCATGGTCCCTTCCAATCATTCTATGTGAGATTTCCTTGCGTATAAAATAAATATTATGCAGACTGTAAGTGTACAAAACGATTGCAGTCATAAAGCAGGTTTTTGTGCATATGTAGAAGGCAGCCCCACTGGGTTCAATAGAGGTTACTTCCAAGGAGGAGCGCATAAACTTGCGGCCCGATCCAATTCTGGCTTGCTTGGACTTAAGTCACACTCAGTCCAGTGGAGCTCATTCACAAGTCTCTCTCTGTGTATATATATTTGCTAAGCCCCAGTTCCAAAAGTGATCTGACTTTCAGCCAGGCCTGTCTTAAATGATTCCAGTGGGATCCTCTATAGTCCCAGGCGCAAGCATCATCTGCTACACCCTCCCTTCCATCGCGATCCCCCGTTGCGTTTCCTGCTCGTCTTGTTTAATTCTGGGGCAAAACCTTGTTAGTCGTTCCCTTCTCTGCCCTGCAGGGAGAGCAAACCCGGAGCAATGCAAATCTCTCTACAGCGGTTAGCAATAGCTCCAGCAAAACTGGAAGATCAAACAAAATAATCTGATTTGCACTGAAGGGGTCTCGGCAGCGGCGGCTGCACCACACCTCGAGAATGCAGGAGGAGCAGAATCAGACGCCACATTTGGAAGAGGCTGCAAATCCTGAACGGCCTTCAAACCTCCTGTACTTTTTTTTATGCATGCAGCTCTCACTGCAATGACAATATCTTAAAAGAAAAAGAAAAGGTCACAGGCAAATTGGATTAGGGACAATCAAGCTTTGCTAGGGTGAGGGGAGGAATCTCGGACCATGATGCAAATGAATGGAACTAAGTGACAACTGTTGGTGGGATTCGAACTGGAGTCAGTGGAAGACACGTGTTCGTTGCAAAACTGTAGTGAAATCAAGCGCCTTAAGAAAGAGGTGGGGCATCAGTATGAGCTTGGCTGTATTTCTGCCAGGAACTATATACCCCAACCCCACCTCGGGATGGGGGAAGGTTGCACTGACTCCGGGATCTGGTCCTGAGTGTAATGCTTCCTGTGTGCAGCCTGAGCCACATGCATGCTTACTCAAGAGTAACACTCCACTGAGATCTACAGGGCTTAGTTCCTAATGTGGAATAGTTTGGCTATATTTCGTCTCCAAAGGCGACGTGAAAGACGAGGGGCGCTGATCCAGATTCCCAGTTACGTAGCCCGGTCATATGTGCTCTTACTCAGAGATAGTAACCGCTGATGTCCTCCTAAGAAAAGCGCGCAGAGGCTAGCAGCCCTGGGAAATAAGGATAAACGCTTAAAATGAGTAGGACTTACTTCTGAGTAAAAGGATTGGGGCTGTAAGACCGCCATCCTGTGCACCCTTGCTTGGGAGCTGGCTCCATTGAAAACAGCAGGACATACCGTACTTCCTAGTAAACAAACACGTTTACTAGGCTTGTCTTCCACTGCATAATCAATGCCTTTGTAGATGCAATAGGCTAATACAGCACAAGCCTTTGCACCACTCATTGCTCCTCACACCTCGGACCAGAGGAAAATTTGCTTTCTTTGGCCCCAGTTTCTGATATAGAAAAGGAGAACAGTAATAACCATGATTGCTCTTTTCTCTGCGCAAAGAAGGCTTCTATAAAAACAGCAAAATATGGCTTGCCTGTTAGCCATATCAGGGCGGCAGCATTTAATCTCTACACCGAGAAGGGGTGTGTGTGTGTGTGTGTCTTTCGTAGATTGAAGTCTGCCTGGAACTTACATATGCTGCTCGCCGAAACTTGATCCTTACTATTAATCCCCAGAAAGGCTTGGCTACGGTTAGTGGCGGAACTCTGCACATGGGCCAAGGCTCGCTCTCGCTCTTCGTATATGTTATTGTTAAATTGCAGCGTTGGAGCAGGTCTAACACTGCATATAGGAGTAAGAGCTTGGCTGAGGCCTTATCCCCCTTTAATTTATGGGTCCTGAATCATAATTCCAGACCATTATACAATGCGCCTCCTACAGAATGTTTGGGACATTCTATTCCGCGTTCTGTGGACTGGTGACGTTGCCTTCCTGGATCTAAGGAAAGGGCTAAAGGGAACGGCAGTGGCTCAGTGGCAGAGCGTCTGCTTTGCATGCAGAAGGTACCAGGTTCAATCCCCGGCATCTCCAGATAAGACTCTGAGGAGGCCCCTGTCTGAAACCCTGGAGAGCTGCTGCCGGTCAGGGTAGAGACCAGTGGTCTGACATCCTATGTTCCTACATCAGTTCTTCAAAATAAAGATTCTGGCGGGACTCGTAGATCTCCTCCTCTCAGAGGTCCCCTTTTAGGTTGCAAGAGGCGGAAGAGAGAAACAAAATTCATAGCAAAGTTCCTTGATCTTCCCTTGAGGAAGGTTACTTTAGTGTGCCGCATAAGAATAACCAGGGAGCAAGTGCTCTTGAGATATCACCACTAGGCGTGATCTGAAACAAAGGAGGGGGTGACTGGGCCCTTCTCTTCCCTCCCACCCCTACCGCATGGCGCCCCTTGCATCTTACTTTCCCTGGCCAACGCTTCCCTGTCTACTCCACTTTCTTCCTCTCTGCACAACACTTCCTATTTTTGTTGTCAATCAATAGCCAAGAGGAAATGAACGCGCGCGTGGGTCAAGCTGCGCAGGGAACAGGGGGCTAAGAAGTCCGCAAGGAGAGATCTGATGCCTCGGACCGAGAGTTCATCGAGATCAGCAGCCCGTCTAAGGTGGAAGCAAGCTGCTTGGCAATATTGGCGGAGGTTTTGTGTGAGAGGCTAACAAGCTAATGGGAATCGTCCCCGAGGCTTATGTTCAGATTGCGTATTCCTGCCGTGCGTTCCCGAGCTTGTGCAAAAAGCGCCTTCCCCTCAGTCCTCAGTTACCATCTCTAGCTTCCATCACATGCGTGGAGTTTCAGCAGTGGGTGTTGAAAGCTTGAGCTTAATCCGGAACGTATCGTAGTTGTTTGGTTTTTAATAATATAAAAGCAAGCACTGAGCCCAAGGGCAACCCTTGTGTGGGTGGGTGTGCATACATTTTCTCTCTCCCCCCCCCCTCTCCCTCTCTCTCACACACACACACAAACACACACACACACACACACAGAGAGAGAGAGAGAGAGAGAGAGAGAGAGAGAATTGCGCTTTCCTCTTTCCAGCTGATGCTTGTGTCAACTGTTCTTCTGAACTGAGAACCTATCGAGACATACTGAAAGAAAATACTGTATACCGGAATGCCCTTAGGCCAGTCTGAGAAAGAGAAAGAGAAAGAGAAAGGGAGAGAGAGAATAAATTGTGGAGAAGGCGAAATGGCTGAGTGAAAAGACGGTGGACAACCCAGCTAGAGACTCCAGGCCAAGCAACGAGAGAAAAGGCCGAACTTCTCCCGATGCAGGAAATCTGTGATTTATTTTTTTCTATAGGGAACGAGAAGAGGGGGCCTGCAGTTTTGCTCTGCTAGTGAATTCATCTGCTTCTCTTCTGTGCAGAGGAAAATCACACACAAGGAAAATCGGGTGGGGTGGGGGGAAGAGAGAAACCTCAGATTGGATAACACCTCCCCGCCGCTTTCAAACCACCCTAGTTTTATTCAACTATATCTTTCCCACCCTAATCGTGTCTGTATTCCGAGTTGTGAGCCTGTCTATCTGTACACAGCGGCGTCTGCCTATCTTGTGTCAGCCACTGTCTGTCTATTTGAGTCTGTATGTCTCTTCCCATGCCATAGCTGCGCCACTAGAAACCTTAGGCTGCCATTTGGCATATATACATCCCGCGCAAACCTCACCATGCCTACTCAGGGAAGCAAGCCCGGTTGAATTCAGTGGCCTTGCTTAATAGCGCGTCAGCTCCATTAGATAAGGTAGGGCTTACTTCTGAGTTAAACATGCTCAGGTTGGGGGCTGCATCTTATCTATTTCATCCGGTCCCTGTGATCAGACATCCATTCTACTAGTGCGCTCTCTTCCCCACCACCACCCCATCTCTCTGCAATTACTTCTGGTGCACTTTCTATCCAGTAACACAAACACACACAAGCATTTCACATTCGCTGCGTTGGGTTTCCTTCTTTCCTGCTAAAGCTACCAGGTCGTCTCCATAAAATGCGAATGTTTAAATTCCTTTTTAAGGGTCACTTCCCCAATTTCCACAAGTGTTCATGGTGTGTTTTGTATGTGATTTTATAGCAACAAAGCTTGTGAAATTTGTAGAGCAGCTGGGGGGGGGATCCTCCTCCGTCCTTTTCAGCATGAAGTTTCACTTCCCCTTTGATCTCAAAACAGCCTTGTTGGGGCGTCTGTTTTGAAACAGCCCCCTAGAGAATGTGCGCCTCGCTTCAATTCTATGCATGCTCACTCCGAAGTAAGCCTGATTTCCGAGCAATGGTGCATAGGGTTGCAGTCGGGGTATGTGTGCGCGTGCGTGCACGTTTAGCCTCCTCTACATAAACGGGGCGGGGGGGGGAGGAGAGCGAGAGCGAGAGAGAGAGTCGCTGTTTTGCGTACATCAACGATAGCCTGATAGCATTGGAACCTCAAGGTTTGTAGCCTGAGAAACTCGCCCTCTGTCCCACTTGCAGAGGTCGGAGTTATACTGTAACTGCATCTCTGCAAGATGTGCCTGCTTTCTCCCGGTTCCGTTTGTCAGCAAGCAGACAACTTGCGCCCACTGCCATAGGCCCAAAACTGAGTGCCCCTCAAAAGAAAGAAAGAAAGAAAGAAAGAGGGGAACACCACCAAAAACAAAGCGGTCTTAGCAGGACTGTGCCTTAGTGCCACGCACTTTGCATGCCAGAGATCCCAGGTGATCCCAGGATAAATCTGATGTAGATGGACCAGAGATCTGGCTTGGCATATAATGCGGCTGCCCATGTTCCTAGCCCTCCTACGGTTAGGCAATTCAAACACTCTGACTTTAACGTCCTTGCACCAGCCTTCCTTCTTAGATGGTATAATAATGTCTATGACTTCACGCTACGTTAGGAGGTCCTCCTGCTCGTTCTCCTGAGCGGGACCCTTGACTTCTGCTCGAAAGTCCTACCCCCTCGGCACCACTCATTTTTTAATCCCACAAGCCTAACTAGAGGAGGTTGATACTTTGATTTTTATCAAATTTTAAAAGTCCGCTAAATTAACATTTATTAAGAGCGCCGAGTGCTGCTGCCAGGACACTTCCTACAGCAGCGGACCTCTGCCCTTGAACCTTCCCACTGACACAGTTATTTGATGGGAATCCGGGCGCCTCAAAAGGAACCTCCTTGTACTTCTCTGAGGCCTGTTTTCCTGGAGGGGGGAAAATTGTTGCTCAATTAGCTGCAGTGATTTATTCCGTGCATGCATGAGAGAACATTAATATGCGATGGCAGTTCCCACGAACAATATTCCGCTCAGGCCTTCCGACAGGCCGAGCGTGCCTCCCTTGGCAAGTGGGGAGGGGGAGAAAAAGGAAGCCCTCGCTAGCCCCCTCCTCCATGCTGCTCCTTCGGGCTGGCAGCGGCTCTTCTCCGCCTTCTCTAGCAGCCAGTGCGGGGTTGGAATTTTTCTTACGAATACTGACAACCCTCGCTGCCTGGTGGGGATGATCGACCCGCAGGCAAAGCTTCGCATTTGTCTTCCGCTTGCAAGTGCGGTTGGTGTGGGAGTCTCCTCCTCACAGGTTTAACTGATCCCCGACCCCCTTCGCTCACGCACGCCTTATTATAATGATCCTTCCCCCCATCTCGGCCTTCCTTCCAAGACGACAGTTTCGGGAGGAATAACAGAAATAGGTCTTTCCCACTTTGAGTTCTGAAAAGGAGTGGAAAGTTGTTTAAAAACCAAAGCACACACAGAGAGAGTTCACTACCTGCGCAACTTGCCCGTCATTTGAGAGCAGAAGGCATAGACCCGAAAGCATTTGCCATCCGGATCCTACATACGTTCTCTTGGAAGTGTATTTCAAGTTTCCTGGTTCTCTGTCTCACGCTGGTCAAGGAAACTGACTCCCTAGTCAGCCTGCTGAGGCTTGCAAGCCCGACGGCGCGTACCAGGAAACCAGGCCCAGCTCAACTCAGCGAGGCTTCGCTTCTGAGTTACAGACTGGTTTTCCTTTTTTTTATCGTGTTCCCCAGAAACCCACAGAGCTTACCTCCGCGTAAATGTACCTCCCTTTCTTCCTACACTTTCCATGGAAGTAAGGTGGAAGGTTCGGCTCACCTCGAGCGTACCTAAATCGGTTCAAATTAAATTCTGTATGGCTGGGTTTTTGTTTTTTAAAAAGTTTACACTCTTGCGCTGATTCTGAGCGTGGAGCGACTCAGCTGTTTGTATCAGGAAGGAGGGGACATCGACCGCTGCCGCTGGCTTTTCTCCTAGTCACCTCCACCATCAGCCTAAACTTAGTGAATTAACAGTGGAGGAGTGAAAGCATGAATCAGCTGCGGTGGCGAGTGGCGGAGGCGAAGATCACCTCTTGGGAACCGAGGGACGGGTCTGTGGGAGGCAGGTGAAGCTGGCTAGATCAGGAATGGCACAACTCTGACTTTGGCTTGTGGGGCAATGAGGACGCAGAGAAGGACGGTTCAAATCCGGGGGGGCGGGGTGCTTCCAAGGGGTAGCTCCCCTGGGCTCTCTGGGTCAGTGTTGCTCCGCTAGGCGCTTTCTGTTTCACGAATGGTTTTGCCTGGGAGGGAGGGGGCGTGCGGGTTGTTGAATAAATAATAAATAATAATAACAACAAAGAGGTTCTCCCCCCCCCATTCCTCCCCGGGGAACCGGAATGGCGCTCTGTATATACACACTGATACACAAGGCCCATCCCGTACGTTTTGTTAAGCTCTTGGGCCTGTGTTTCAGCACGATCGCCGCAGGTCCCTTTCCCACACCTGAGAGACACCCCCCCCCCCGCAAGCCTGATGTGATGAAGCTTGCAAGCCTTTCCTTCGCCACCCCTCGGAGCTGCCTTGCTGTCAGGCCCGAGCATTTCAGTTCAGACTCGGTTCAGCCTCTCTTAGGTGTGAAACTGGAGATGTGTGGAAGCTGTGTGTGTGTGTTGGCGTTTAACCCTTTCGACGTTTTGTGTCATTGGACGGGGGTAAAGTGTGTGTGTGTGTAGGGGCAGTAAGACAGGCCGAAGGATTTCAGTCCAATTGAAAAAAGCAACTATTTTCAGCCGCATGGAGAGTTTGGGGCTCTTTGGAAACAGCACAGGCAAACAGATCTTTGCAGAGAGTGAAAAGTTCCCGATCCCTGGGTGGTTCGAGACCAGGGTGATGTACTGCTGAGCTCAGGCCAAAGTTCCATCGAGGCCTGTCCATTTTACAGAAGGAGGTGGTCTTGGCATCTTTCTCTCCCCCCCCCCCTTAATGCTGTGGCCCCTTCATTTAAGGACGCTGAAAGGTTGGACTACAGCAAGCCAGAAAACTTCCATGTTCTATCCTGAGCCGGAACACTTTTTCCATGGAAGCTCTCATTAAAATCAAAGATGCTCGCTTCCAAGTTAAATGCTTTTAGAATAAGAAATGAGAATTTCAGTTCCAGACAAACTAGAATATTATGAAGACCAAAGCACAACTTGGTGCAACGATATTGCTGAAATCATCATTTGACCTCAACTTGATCTATCATATACAGGTTAAAGCACAGTGATATATATATGCTGCCTCTGAAATTAAGTGTCTGGGACTAAGGCTACCATCTTAGGGCATTTATGTGGAAGAGATCCCCTTTTAACACGTTAAAACTTACTTCCGAGAAAATACATCTTTTCTCAGACTGCAGGATGTTATTGTTGTTAGGTTTTTTTAAAGAAGAATTTTGATAATGGATCGGGCTGGAAGTACAGAGTTCTAGCAGTCCCCTGATTTGGTGAATCTGGACCCAAATAATAATAACAGTCACAAATGTCTTCTTCCCCCAAGTAGTGAGAGAATTCAACCCCCAAGTAGTGAAAGAAGTACCCCCTCCAAAGAAAATGCCATTTCAATGATATTAGTAAGCAAAAATATGAAACAATTTAATAAACAAACAAAAACCAGAAACCAGTCTGAATAAAACTACAATAAGACCAAGAGGTGTTTTTTTTAATATTTTTCATATCATAAGCAGGATTTTAAATTGATCCCTTCAGAACGTTTACATGAAATAAAAACAATATTTTTTCTCTCTCTGCTGCTGCAATGTTGCGACTTCAACACAGTTGAATCCGTAAAAACCCAAAAAGCTCAGAGGGGTATTTTTTTTTCTGATGCATGACTATTAATATCCACAATATTTAAAACGGCAAGCACCATGCTCTTCATTTTTCACGATTCTTGGTATTACTGTTAATTTATAAACTAATACAAACTTAAAATGCATCCGGCCAGCAGTGCCAGCAAACCCTAAAAGAAAACTAAAAAATAAAGGTTTTCATTTTGGTATTTTTGTCAGTGCAACATAAAATCCTTTTACTGACCTGCAGGAGGAAAAAAAAAACACCAGAAGAAGAAAAAAGTAATAAACACACCCATAAGACTCCAGATTATTAACTACAGTATTAGCATTTGCGAAGAAATTTGGCTAAACTCTCACTGGCTGCATGAAGAAGCAGGTTAAACATTGCAAAAAAGAATATACTTGAAAAAGCGAAGTGTCTGCCTCCAAAACAATATTTTTTTTATTAAAAAAAAGAGGTGTGGGTTTTTTTATGCATTCAGAATGTATTCCTACTCTTACACTGATTAACTTAACTCCAATCAGAGCGCGAGCACGTGAGTTGCTCGGGACGCAGCCACTGAAACTGACTCGCATCTCTCAGCGTTAAGAAGTGAAGCGGCCAATTGTTGCTAGGGGCTTGCGAGGGCGGGGAGAAGTAATCGCCAAGTTGTAAAATCTCTTACTTTTCCTGAGTGTCTGATAAATTCAGGTAGCCCAAACGGAAGATTACTGGGGACTGCGGTGAAGACCCAGGACGGGATCCAAGCGTTGTCACACATTAATAATATTCTGCCTGGGCTACTTTTCCTTTTCGCTCTCTGAAGGACATACCACGACACATACTTGGAAGTAAAAGTCCAATTTAATTCGGGGGAACTTGGCCCTTTCTAACCGCACAGATCGGGAGGTCAACTCCGCTGATTTCGGAAGAGTTAACTTCTAGAGTATATTTAAGATCATTGGGGTGGAGGTTAGGTTTGTCATTTTCTCTGCCCCAACAAAAACCAAAATGAAAACTAGAAACATTTTTTTAAAGTTACAGCTTTTCAAAGTGCACCAAATATACAAAGTTGCTATCTGAATGCAAAATGCCCAGAATTTCTCTTTTCTCTCTCGCGTGTGTGTAAATTTATTATTTCCCTAAAGAACGACCAAAACCATCAAAAGCCAGCCTGCTGAAATGTTATTGTGATTTGCCCCCTGCGCCGGTTGATATGGCTGATATATATTTACAAGCTAACAGGGGGCCCAATCCACCAAGAGCAGCCCTGTTCATTCCAAAGGGACATGCCCAGGAGAAGTTCCTGGTGGAATGAGCCCAGATTTATTTATTTTTAAAAGAAATATAGAGAAACAGTTGCATGAGCAGTTAAAAAAGAGGGCTTTATATATATACTCGTGACATTTCCTCACTCATTGAAAAGAAAAGGGAAAAAAAACGAACAGGAACAGGAAAAGAAGATATGATCGATGATCAACAACATGCGAAAAGTTTAAACAAGAAAAATGGTACAAAATAGAAGTTACCATACATGTCCAGCATGCAGGATTAATATTTTTAATGCAGATTTTTTCCGTATTTTTATCCCCTATATAATCAAGCAGGCAATAAAACCGAGGAGTTTTCATTTTCTTTCCTCTCCCTCCCTTCTCTCTCGCATGGCAACGTCCCATCTGAATTCTGTCACTTTCTCACAGGCAGGCAATATATGAGGAGTTTGCATATATTGTCCTCTCCTCTTTTTCCAGGTAAATTGGGTATTTTCCTCCCTTCTCTCTTGTTTTCTTCCTTCCGTTTATAAAACAACAACCACTCCAAAGCAGGTAATTCTAGATGGCTTGTCCAGTGCCCATCGTTTTGCTTTGCAAAGTCCAGGTTAAAGTTCTACAAGCAAGCAACCGATTCGTATAAAACATTTGTGTGTGTGTGTGTGTGTGTGTGTGTGTTTGTTTAAAACAGTCCTTTTCTCCTCCTCCCCACCTACTTTTCTCTCCCCATCCCACCCCCTCCGCCCCATCTCTCTCTCTGTCTGTCTCTTTCTCTCTCTTTCTTCTACACATCTCTGTCTCTCTCTGGCCAATTAAGATGAAAAAGTTGCGACCCTTCCCCTCCCGCTTGGATCTTCGCAGCTCATCTAGAGGAAGACAAGGATCTGCAAAGATTAGCAGAGTCACGGATTACACAGGCCAACGCGTCACCCCCTTCCCAGGCCCCTCGGTTGCTCTTCTGACTCTCAGCTCAAGAGGGTAGGATGGATGGAGATGTCAGAGGATGGGAGAGGGGGGACGACAACTGGGGAGCAGGTGGGGGGTGGGTAGGGGGAGAAACATATCTCGGTTGGCTGGTGGGGTTTTTTGTTTTTTTTTAAGGACTCACATGAAGAACTCGGGAGAAGACGGGTTGTCGCTGGTGGATCCGGCCTCTCGGAAGCCATTGCTGGCCAGTTTCTCGCACTTGAGCTTGTAGGCGTCTCTTTCTCTGGCCAGCCGGTTGACCTCTTGCTTGAGCTGTTCCACCTGTTGGATGAGCTGGGTCTTCTCGTTCTCCAGGTGATGCTTCTGCTGGACCCGCTTGTACCTGCAAGACTGGGCATAGCCTCTGTTCTTCAAGGTCCTCCTCTTCTGCTTGAGGCGGATCACCTCGTCCTTGGTGAAGCCCCTCAGGTGCCGGTTGAGCTCCCGCACGGACATGGACACCAGCTGATCGTCGGAGAACCGGTCTTCCACGCTGCTGGAGGACGAGGAGGACGAAGACGAGGACGATGGGTGAGGCTGGTGAGTGTTCTGGAGCTGCTGGGAGGAGCTGGAGGCGTTGGAAGGGGTGGGCGACGCCTGGTGATGGTGAGGGTGGTGGTGGTGGTGGTGATGGTGAGGGTGCCCGTTGCCCGACAGGTCTTCGTGGGGGACCCCGGTGTACTGGTGATGGTGATGCTGGTGGTGATGGTGGTGGTGGTGAGCGGCAGCGGCCCGGAAGCTCTCGAAGCCCTGGAGCTGCTGGGGCACCTGGTGGGACCCGATGAGGGCTTCCACCGCGTCCTCCGGAGTGAGGTTGAGCGTCTCGGGGTTCATCTGCTGGTAGCTGTTGGCCATCCAGTAGAGGTCCTCCAGGTGCGTCTTCTGCTCGGTGGGGCTGAAGCTGGGCGACGACGGCACGGAGCTGCAGGGGGTGCTGATCGGGGTGGAGGACACCGAGCCGGCGGGCTGCAGGCGCGTGCAGTGGCGGCCCGAGCGGTCGGCTCGGCCCAGGGGCTCCTTCTTCACGTCGAATTTCATCAGGTCGAAGTCATTGACGTACTCCATGGCCAGGGGGCTGGTGGGCAGCTCGGGGCCGATGCTCAGCTCGCCAGCCATCGCGCTGGGCTCCGCGGGGGGAAGAGCCTCCTCTCCCGCCGGAGAGAGGAGAGGGGACCACGACGGCGACGACGGGGAGGAGGACGGATCTCACCGCCTCTCGGCTCACTTCACGCTCCAACCCTCCGCGCTGCCAGCCAGCCCGGAAGAAACTTTCTCCGCCGCTTCGCCGCAGCCAAGCCAAGTCCCGGAGACAGCCAGAGCCAGAAAGAGACACACTCACTCTCTCTCTCTCTCTCCCTCGAGGGGCCGCGGCTCTTCGTTCTCCTTCGCCCTAACGGTGCCGGCGATGCAATGCAAGGAGAGAGAGAGCTGTCAGTTTCTCCTGCTTGCCAGAAACCCGCTGGCAAAAAAAAGAGCAGATTTTTTTTTGAAAAGGAAGAATGCAGGGGGGAGGAAAATCCTTCGGAGCTGTTCGTACGTGCGCGCGCTGCTTCCCCTCGCAGGGAGAGACGGGGGAACGAGCGATCTGCAAGGATTCAGATTCAGTCTCTGGTTTGTAAGTCCGGCTTCCCTTCGCGACCTGGAGCAACTTTTCGCTCGCTTTGCTGCTCAGCAGAGAAGGGCGGCTGGTTGCAGTTGCTGCTTTTTGTGTGCAGAGTTGCGATCGCGCTGGGAAATGGGAGGGAGGCCGGGAAGGAGAGAGCGCAGCAGCAGGAGGAGGAGGAGGAAGAGGAGGGGAAAGGGAAAAAAAAGAACAGCACCCTCTCTCTCACACACACGCGCGCAGCCCACTCCTCGGCAAGCTGCGCTCGGCTTGCGGCCGCTGCCTCCAGCGCCGATTGAACAGCTGTGATTCGGCGCGCCTTCGCTCTTCTCTACTTATATGCGCGAGGGGCGGGGCCGGCGGGGGCGCGCCGACCAACCGCGGCCCGGGCGCGGAGTTCCTGGGGTAGCCGGGGGGCGGGGCCCGCGCTCCCAAGCCCGGCTGACAGCTCGCAGCCAGTCAGCTGACTCGCAGCTGGAGAAGCAGCTCGCGCAGCCCAGCTCCCGGCCGGGCTTGGGGGGGGGGGCGTTTCATGTTTTCATCTCGCCACCAGGTTCTTCTTACCCGCGCCTGTCTATGGCTTTGCGAGTCACCCTCCCCCGCCCACACCTTTATTAATTATCCTTAATTAAATCCCCCACCAGCCCGTCTCACACACACACACCGTCCCCATTACAGGAAAGGGAGCCAAAAAGAATTGCTTCGCGGGGGAGGGGGAATAAGAGAAAGTGCCAATAAAGGGCTGTAATTCCCCCCCCCCGTGTTTATGGTGCCTGGGAAGGAGATGGGGTTTATTGCACAAGAAAGTTAGGGCAAAACGCGGGTGAGGTGTGTGTGTGCGCGTGCATGCATATTGCAGGATGGGAAGGAAGCGGGTTGTAGACGTGTTTTGCACGGCCTTTTATTATATGGAGCGGGGGAGCGAGGTCCCAAGTTAGAGATCATTTTTAAAAAGAGCATCCTAGCAGTGGTGGATGAATTCAACAGGACGGGTGGGCAGGGAGGAACTAGACCTCTCCATTTCACACCTGGGGCAGGCCGGTGATTTCCTCTTCTCCGCGAGTAACTGCATGCAAAGATCACATTTTGCAAGATTTCTTCTTTCTTTCTTTTTTTGGACCACTGTTTTTGTTTGAACATTTTGTAACGATTAAGGGAGATTAAGGTGCTCGCTCGCTCGCTCTTATTTCTCTTTTCAGCAGGTCTGCCCCAAACAGGCATAAAGCGCGACCCCAAGTGGCCACATGGAGTATAGCATCCATCTGTAAAGGAGAGGGGGAAATGATCAGAGCAGGAGGCGAAATTGACGGAAGCATCTATGGATGAGGAATAGAAACGGCAGGGGCAACCGAAGTGAAATCTGTATCCGGAGGACCTCGGCTTCCTACACCGGCACGGCGTTTTAAATCCAAGTGATCCTTTTCCACCAGAGACTGTTGGGTTATTTCTTCACCCACTTGCCGTCTTCACCCACCCCTCTGATTGATCAAATGTTCTATGACCTCTGATCTTTTTCATTCAGAGAGGGAAGAGGATATATGCTAGTTACTGATGCACACAGGTTTTACCCTCTCCTCGCCCCTCCCCCAATTTCTTTTAAAGATGCGATCAAAACTTTGAATAGAATAGTAGCTCAGTGCAGTTTCCATTTCAGTTTATCCTAGCCCAGAAATCTCCAGGTGTTATGATGCGATGCCCAGGCACTACAAGAACACGAGGGTAACCGTCGGTGGCTGTATATTACCTCCGCCTTTCGCGCAGGCCTCTTCCAAAAGGACATGCCAACGGACCTCATTGCCTTGAACGTGCTCGCTTGGAACTGGGGTTCTTCGACTGCAATCGGCTGGAACTCGAGGGTAGTGGGATTTGAGGGGAGTGTGTTGCAAGAACCTCCTGAGGCTGGGAGATGAGGGCACGGGGGAAGAAAGACCCCTCGAAAGCTAGGACAGAGGCTTCCGGGGGCCAGGTGACCACCAGCCCCTGCTAGAAGGATACTGTGTCCACCTATATAAACTCTACCTGTTTCTCCAGGAAGGAAGAGGGGCGTGTGTCAGATAGAGAGAGATGCAGGCGGACGAGGAGTTAAATAGAGACAGCGTAAAGTTAGAAGCTTTCGGCGTGCTATGGTAGCCCAAGTCAAACAGCAGCAGCTGAATTGTGGTGGGTTTGTTTGTTTGTTTGTTTGTTTGTTTTGCAGAATTTGGGGATTCTCCTCTCCTTGCTATCTGAAGTGTGTGGAGGGAAAATTAGACCAACGAGGGCCTTTTCTTCCACGGACATCTGCAGAACATGCAATTCTCCCTAAAACATACACACCCAGGCAAAATCAATACTGCTTTGCATCTTTCCACGTGCCTGGCCCAGGAGCCCTCGGTAAACATCCTCTGCCTCGTTACTCGTAACTGGTAAAACAGAATTCATCCGGACTTAGTCGCCCAGGCAATTAGAGGGATGCAGTTTTGAACCGCGGCTCCCCTTCCCTGTTTTTGAAATTCTCTGAGATTTGCTTTCCTGTTCCGTTTAATCGTATCCAGGAAGAGAGAGAGAGAGAGAGAGAGAGAGAGAGAGAAATCTCTCCACGCCGCCCCCTCCCCCCCGCAATCAACAAGGACGTGCACATTAACCAGAAGAGAGCGCAAGCACCGAGGGAAATCGCTCATGCTGCTTTCTGATGAATGGACTGTTCTCGGTTTAAAAGCACCGGGAGGTCCTGAGTTCGGATTCCGCTGGGGCCGGGCGGTTGACCTGAGTCGCCTCAATCCCCGGGTCTACTCAAATCACAGAAGAAGGGTGGGAGAAGCGGGTTGAGGCCACCCCCCTGCCCAAATTCATTTCCTGAAAGTAGAGCGCAATAGAATCAATGCGGGCTGTTACATTATAACCACAATCCAGCACTAAGGCGCGCTTCTGGCTGCAACTATAATTGACAAAGCCCTATTCAACTCAATGGGCTTCTGAGCAGACGTGTAATAGGTTGGCTCTGTAAATTAATTCATAGCGAATGCCTTTGAGTTCGGCGCAACCAGGATAGTCTTTTCCGCCGTCCTCCGATTTTAAGCATATCTAAGTAAAGCATATCTACCTGGAAGTAAAAGCCGCAGAAACCAGGTGGACTTGTTTGTAAAACGGCGTCTTTAGAATCCGGGCCTTTGGTTTAAGATAAACCACTAGCAGGCTCGCTATAGCAGCCTGACATCGTTCTACTAAGCAAGTTTACTTCAAAGTAAGTCCGATCGCCCTTATTTCAGTGGCGTTGAAGTGTAAACAGGACCGCACCCACGCTTACTGGAGAGTAAATCACAGACGTCATTGACATCATGGTTAGGATCGCGCGCTGGTTTGCTTAGGATCGACCCTTTGAAAATATTGACGTTGTTGAATTTTGTGGCTTAAAAAAAAAGCAAAAGTAAAATTTCTGTCTGATCTTTCTTCACTGTTTGGCTTCCACAGCGCGATCCCCAACTCTGCTTACTCAAAAGTAAGTCCCACTGAGACTCTGGGGACTGCTTTCCTTCCTAACCTATCGTGTTTATCTCTGTTTCGGCTTGCCACGTCAGCCGCTGGATCGGGGCCACTGAGCTGCGGCCTACACCAGTCACACCAGTATTTTGGTGGGTGGGTTTGTACACACACAAACACACACAAACACACACACACACACACACACAGCCTTTTTTGGGGGGGGGATACAAAGAGACAGGTGTCTACTCCAGTGTAAGCAGTTTGCGGCCTGCCGCCATCCGAAGGTGGGGAGAGCAGAAAGAGGAGACTAAATGAAGGCGCAACTGCTCCTTGAAGCAGCTCCTCACCCCGAAGAAGTCAACTGATCCCTTCTCCTTACCTGAAGGAAGCTGCTGCCCCCTCCCCACGCGGCCCTTCCGCATAGGACCCCCCCCTCCGCCGTATCCCTTGCAGATTGCTGAGTTATTTTATCCACACTTTCTATGGAGATGATTATGATTATGATGATGGAGAGAGTGAGAGTGGTTCTCTCTCTCTCTCCTGCATCCGGTTTAAGCATTTATAATTCAACGCACCTCGCCGCACGTTTCTGGAGAAGGAAGGGCGGGTTGCAATCCCCACCGAAGCCCCTTTCGTTGGCAAGGCATCGCGGATGCTCTGCCGTTTTCGCTCACGCGGCACTTTATATGGAATGCGCATTATGTGGAATACAGTGCAAGGCGCGCGCGCTCTCCATTCCCTTGCATAGGGGGGCAGAAGAGCCTGCGACCTCAGAAACAGGGTTGTGGGGGTTTTTTGTATGTGGGGTAACCTCCCTCAGCAAGGATCCTGTTGACCCAAGGGTCCATGGGAGGAGAGCCTCTTCCCCCCGACACCCCTTTTCCCTCATCCAACCTCTTTTCTATCCCTGTGCAAGCTAATCTCAGAGCGCGATCCTTGCATTCACTTGCTCTTCTTTAACAATAAAAATATGTTCCTTAATCCTTTTGCGAGGTGGAGACTCTGAAAGGAAAGGAAAGGCTGAGCGGATGTTTCCCTACGAGAAAATTATACTGCTTTGCTTCATCTTTTATTCCTGCCCCCAATCCATCCACCCACCCCCAGCGATCCCTTTCTTCCCTGTCTTTTCTTTCTACCCCCGAACGAGCGCGCCTCCGTGGGCATTTATCTGAGCCCTTCTCGGTCCTCATAAACTATCCAGGCAGCTGTAAAGGAGTCTTTCCTTTACCACCACCCCGCCCCGGTTTCCCCCCTTTAATAGCCATTTTTATGTCTCCCCATTAACAGTTTAAGAGACATCCTACAAAACGTGCTATCATCTGCGACAAAATCAAAGCGGGTTTGTTAAAAACCGGAGCTCGGGCGCTCCGTCGATTTTTCGTATTTAAAGGCTGGTTTAGTTTAGTGGGCGAGTTTATTTATTTATTTAAGGTCGCCAAAGTTTTCATCAGTAGCAGGATTATGTAGTATACGTAACGAGCAGGAAGGGCTATTCTCTGGTTAGAAATAGAGACGGACAGGGCATGCAGAGTCTCCATAAACCACTTAAGCAGAAGTGCCCGAATTTAAGGGAACCTTGGAATCCTAAATATGTCGCGCACAATCCAGCCGGTCAAAATTAAGCACTTTGAATGGGGTGTCAATGGGAGAGTCAGGCGCGAGCTTAAGATCCATGGCGATGCAATCGCTTCGAAGCGATCCGCTGGTGCTCACTCTGGGCGATCCAGAACTATTTACAATGAGAGAGAGAGAGAGCGCGCGAGAGAGAGAAGGGGGGGAAGTTTGGCCGCAGAATTTAATGTAGTGGGGATTTCACCCCGATTGTGAACGTGGACTCTTGGGATTTCTACACACGGCACACTTGAGATTTACTTCCAAGTGGAATAAGTTTAGGATCTGAACTCCAGATGGGAAAGAGTTCCCTGGGCTTTATTCGAAGTTAAGCATGGTAAAACGCATCCTATAATAAACATACAGAGTACTTAAGACATCTAGTCCTCTCCCTCTTCCCCGCTGCTCGATTCACGCCCATGGAAGCTGCAGGAAAGCAGGAGCAAATCCATTGTAAAGGTGCCTGCGCAGGAGAATTTCTCAGCAAGTATTGCCCTTACTTGGAAAGAGCACACAGATGGAAAATAATAGATCTGGTGAAAGCAAACCCCACTGATTTCACTGAGATAAGAAAGATTTGCTTCCCTGTGCTCTGTATAAAATTGGGGAGCTGCCGTGAAAAGCAAGGGTGTGCATGTTTCCTCGGAAGTAAGTCCCACTACCTTGAGAAGTGGATTAAGGATTCAGTAGTGGATTCAGTAAATGGATTAAGGATTTAGTAGTGGATTAAGGATTGCAGTCTAAATCCCTTTTACGAGGTTGGAGCTGTGCATTGGGCGCTACCAGAAGCCTTTCGCTTAGCGACCTGATCCACAGCCCTGTTCGACTGAAATGTGAAACCCGTCCGAGTTTCATCGTGAAAGCGCACGAGATGACCCTGGTTTGAATCCGGTTCACTGGCGGTGGCGAAGAGCGAAGCCGGATGCGAGTGAGAATGCGATGTGGGATAGGCAAGGCTCCGATCCTCAGCTTCACTTGCTGGCCAGAAAGTTCCCGCGAAAGAGCTTGCGCCTAAGTAACGCAGCCGGACCATCTGTGGATGCTCTAGCTGCCGACGTGGCTGGGATGCAGGAAAGGTGTGCGTGCGTGGTACTCTGGTCTCCGCACACGTCTCCTTACACTGGGCGACAACAGCTGCGGGAGTAGCAGCCGCTGATTTCGCAAGACAGTAAAGAGGTTCAATAAACAATTAAGCAGGCGAGACTCCGAAGTAAACGAGCGCCTGATCTTCGAGAAGGAAACACAGGCAATTCTAAAAGAGAGCAAAAAACAGATTAAAGCGCCCCTGGTTCAAATGATGCCTCAAATGAGTCCCAGTTGATGGTGATTAAATTCCGGACTCTATCTATCTATCTATCTGTCTATCTATCTATCTATCTATCTATCTATGCTTTAGTTGAGATTCCTGCATGGCAGGGGGTTGGACTAAATGACCATTGGGATCTCTTCCAACTCCACAGTTCTATGATTCTATCTAAATCTTCTGTAGGGCACCGTCCAGGTTAAACCCAGCGAATTTGAGACTAAGTCCAAATCTCACATTAGTAAAGGCTGACTTTTATTTTATTTTATTTTAATTTTTGAATTCCTAAGGGAAGTGTACAGATCTTGAAACCACCACTTTGGTTTCACTCTGGAAAGGTCAAAAAAGGCTAATGGATTTCATCGCTTGGATCCGTGTGCGTGGCTGCGCTTGCGGGTGCGCGTAAGAAGAACGAGGCTGTCGGAATGAGCACAGACTGGCAAGTGTTCAGGAGCCCCTCGAACCCTCCCCCTTATTTAGAAAAAAAAGTGTTCAGGTTGAATGCAAAACGTCTCCCTGCTGCTTCAGCTTCCTATTCTGACTCCCCACCCCTTTGAAAATTCGGAGGGACATGGCAATCGTGTCGCAGTAAGTTGGGGAGGAGACGTGGCTCAGCGGCAGAGTATCTGCTTGGCGTGCAGAAGGTTGAGTGTTCAACTCCCGGCATCTCCCCTTGCCCGAAACCCCGGAGAGCCTCTGCCGGTCCGTGTGGACAATACTGAGCTTGATAATAGGACAGTTGTCTGACTCAGTACGTTCTCCGTTCCCATGCAACTGGTCAGCTGCCAAGTTGTCTCCCACATTAGTTCCAGCCGAGACGTACCTGTAGATCTCGGTGCGTTGACGGAGCAGCTTACCGTATTTTGCAGAGGTGCTTAACAAGGATAACTGGGAAGCTCATTTCAGTGCCCAGACCACGTGCTGAGTCAGGATCGAGGTGAAAGTCTATAAAAATAAAGGAACAACTAAGAACACCCCGAACCTGAAAATCACGTCGAGGGAGGGGGAGATCTGTTTCCTTCATCTGAGTGGAACGTGGTTTGAAATGTGTTGATGATGAAACTCAGTACTTATCGCGCCCTCCCTCCTTGCACAGCTCTGCATTTACTAACCTGTTACCTACCTACACGCATTCCATTTAGAGAACACACACACACACGCGCACACACACACACACACACACACAGAGAGAGAGAGAGAGAGAGAGAGAGAGAGTCTGCAGTGTATCGTATGTTCTGATTGGAACAGGAACTTGTTCCCAAAGAGCCATTTTTGCGTCGCCCATGATCTGATAGTGGGAGGTGGGGAAAGGGGAGAAGGAGAAAAGAAAAGTGGGGGGAGGTGATCTCAGGGCAGGAAGGAAGGTTTCACTTTTTGCTGCCTTTGTACATTTCAAAACCTGTGAAAGCAACCGACGTGTTCTGCTGTGCTTGTATCTCCACCTACCCACACACCCCAAGCTTCCCGTGTAAAGCAAAAACAGCTCTGGTTAATAATCAATTGTAGATCAGAGTGTGTGTTGTGCGTGCATAAGACGGGGTGGGTGGGAATGTGGAGGTTTGCACGTTTCGGCTGCATGGCCCACGAATTTAGGTATGAAATCTCTCTCTCTCTCTCTCTCTCTCTCTCTCCCTCTCCCTCTCCCTCTCCCTCTCCCTCTCCCTACTCCTCCTTGCTTTGGCCTACTGACACCCCCAGCCCGACGGCATTCTTGGAAGTGTTGAGATCCGACAGAACCCTTTTAACCAGCGTAGGATCTGTCATGTCTCGGGGTAAACGAATCCTCCACGTGCTTTTTAAAAATTTTAATTATTTTTTTTACTGACCCAGTACCAGCTCTCCATCTGCAAGCGCTGCAGGTGGAGCATCTCTATGGGAAGAGAGGGAAGAAGCAAAGGCCTGGTATCCCGAGGTGTTCTCATTGTCCAGAATGAACGGAGAATGAAAGGTACTCCGCTTCTACAGCTCCCCCCTCCCACAAACAGGTATTTAAAGACACAGCAATATCGCTTGTGTGTAACTGATGAATTCATTAGTGCAATGCGCTTAAGCTTAATTAGAAAGTGCACCTTAAATCCCCAGATTTGCTGTTGGTTTTGTTTGTTTGTTTGTTCAGGCATATATGTTCATTTAGGAGTCTGGGTTGCCTCCAGGAGGCTTCTCTGCAAGTGTTAACTGTTTTGGGCTCTCCCTGAGTGAACTAAGTTATGATCAGAAACATCTCCCCACAGTTTTTTCTTCCTCTGTCCTTCTTCCTCCACCCGTACTTAGGCAGAAATATTAGTTTTGCACTCACTCAAGGAGCTGCCACAAGCTAAGGCATGCACAACATTATTTCTACATTTGCTTAGATTATTGTGACCCACCTTTTTCAAAAGGCTGAAGGTGGATAAGGGCACCACAGCCATCTAAGGCACAACACAACACACACGTGAGAATCTTGCAAATGAAATCAGGGAAAAGAGGAATATTTTTTATTAAGAGACACCTCTCATTTTCCCATTTTAGCTGCATTAAAAAAACTGGTTCTAGTCCTCATGGTTCCATCTCCTTAACATTTAGGGGGAAATCTTTAACATTTTTCTTAAAAAAATCAGCTGTAGTAGATCCCCAGTGAGAGAAAAATGCTAGCCAGTGCCTCTGAATATAGATGAATGTGGACGCATAAGCACACACCTTTATATTCTCGGCCCAATCCACGATCCTTTTTCAGTGAAAGGCTTTGGATTTGAGGCCTTCAGTTGCCCTTGAAAGCACTGGGGCTGTAGCAGCTTACACCCAAATCCTTTAGCTGGGCAGTGTGGATGGGGCTGTCCACAAACATTTTGCACCTGACATTCTTAAGGCACTTAAATCAATATGGCCCATAACACTGATGAGAAAAGATGTGTGAAATTGCCACCATTAGGACCAGCAGCTACAACTATAGCAACAGTTTCCACTTGACTACAGTTTATTGACTTGACTACAAACTCTATATTTCCATTTGTGCAGAGGAATGATCCACCAAATGAGTTTTTCTTTGTATTCTAGAATTCTAATGCTGTATGTCCAACAGCGGGGACGTGGGTGGCGCTGTGGGTTAAACCACAGAGCCTAGGACTTGCTGATCAGAAGGTCGGCGATTCGAATCCCCATGATGGGGTGAGCTCCCCGTCCTGCCAACCTAGCAGTTTGAAAGCACGTCAAAGTGCAAGTAGATAAATAGGTACCGCTCCGGCAGGAAGGTAAATGGCGTTTCCATGCGCTGCTCTGGTTCGCCAGAAGCGGCTTAGTCATGCTGGCCACATGACCCGGAAGCTGTACGCCGGCTCCCTCGGCCAATAAAGCGAGATGAGTCCCGCAACCCCAGAGTCGGTCACGACTGGACCTAATGGTCAGGGGTCCCTTTACCTTTACTATGTCCAACAGCAGAAAGCCTATGATGGACGGTTTCTCTCTTTCTTTCACACACACCTCTCCAACTCTTTACACTGTAGGGAAGTCTAATTAAGTGAAGATTGGCTCTTCACAAGACCTTCTGATTTATGGTGTGTGGAAAGCCTGTAACAAGGACAGCTATGTTTGTCTGAAGCTGCATGCTTATTTCAGTTAGCCAATGTTGGAGAACGACATTTGAAGCAACACAACAGAAGCTGAACTTTTCATGTAGACACATTTTCATGGCAGGTGTCCATGAAAAGCTGGCCACCAATGAGGAAATATCATGCACAAATCCTTATTTTTTATTTCTGCAGAAGACTCCAGGGTGACATTACAGCTTGAAACTTTAAACTAGAATTGACCCAAATAATAGACATCTCAAGAACCTTTACTAAATTCCTTGTGGTTAGTTCTCTTGGTAACCATGATTTCTCAATGTTGGTGCTACAGCTATGGAACTGCTTCTCCAATGAAGCCCTCCAGGCCACCGGAATTATTCCATTTGAAATATAGTTTATCTAGGCTGTGAATGTACCGCACATTTAAATCACATTCCTCCCTTCAAAGACTCTTGGGAACTGTAGTTTATGAAGGACACTAGGCACTTCAGGGGATAAATTACAACTCCCAGGATTATTTAGAAGCTTGAATTGCATGTTAAATGTTAATAAAGACTTTTTGATTTCTCAAGTGCTTGTCTGACATGTTGTTGCTCTGTTTTTTGCTTATAAAATGATTTTTTAAAAGTGATATTTTGAATTTTGAGCTTTTCAAGTTTCACTTCAGAGACTTTCCTTTTTGGAATACTCCATTTAAAAAACCACTTCAATTTTTTAAATCTTAGCCAATTTTAAGAATACTAGTAAAAAGGTAAAAAAGGTAAAGGACCCCTGGACAGTTAAGTCCAGTCAAAGGTGACTATGGGGTGCAATGCTCATCTCGCTTCAGGCTGAGGGAGCCAGCATTTGTCCACAGCCAGCTTTCCAGGTCATGTGGCCAGCATGACAACCTCTTCTGGCGCAAACATGGTCCTCTTACACATAGAATCATAGATTGTAGAGTTGTCCAATATGCAGCTGTCCAATATGGGGATCAAACTTGCAACCTTGGCATTATTAGCACCACACTCTAACCAACTGAGCTAACCAGGCTAACATGCCTTTTTAAAAACAATCATATATCTTGCACAATTTAAAACTGGTAATGCTGAGAACATTAAGCTTTGGAGAATATGTCTGATTATATATATTTTTTTAGTCTGATTTTTAAGCAGACACAAATTGAGGTATTTTGCTGGAGAATTCCATCTTGCTCCATCCAAATTCATTTCAGCTGCAGTCCTGAGCTAATTCTTGCCAGCCTTGTGGGCTGGGGAGGGGGATCTGTGAGGCAGACAAAGATGGCCTGAGAATGGTACCACCTTTTGTTTGCCCAGCATCTGACCACCAGAACCATGGAGCTCATCTCTGATCAAGGGAGTTTCTGTCTTAGCTGTTATGACTAGCAAAAGCCATTACTAGATCTGTCCTCCATTAATTTATTCAACACCCAGGGCCGTCTTTAGCAGATGCGGTGCCGGGGTGCAAACATCCGCCCAGTGCCCCCAAATTACCACCGATAGTGTTGGGGTGGCCGTAGCTGCGCACTGCCAGCCATCGGGGGGGGCACGCAACTCTCCCCCATGCCGCTGCAGGAGAGCGATCCTTGCAGAGGCTTGGGAGTGAAGATGTGCCCCTCCCAAGTCTTCGTGGGTGAAGAGCACAGCTGCCCTCCCAAGCCTTCTCGGGAGGAGAGCAATCCCCGCAGAGGCTTGGGAGGCTTGGGAGGGAAGCTGCCCGCCATATGGTTGGCGGGGCGCAGCTTCCATCCTACGCCTCTGTCGGGATCGCTCTCCTCCCAAGGAGGCTTGGGAGGGAAGCTGCACGCCCACCAGCCTTATGGTTAGCAGGGCGCAGCTGGTGGGTGTGCAGGGAAAGGGGAGGCTGTCGGCAAAGCCGTGCATCTCCCTCACTTGCTGGGGAGCCCCGAGAGGCTGGCGCCCTGGCACAACGCACCACTAAACCCTATGGGAAAGATGGCCCTTGTGTGCTGATTCCCCATTTTGCCCTGCATTGGAAGCGAAAGAGAACTGCATTAGATGCTTTGCTGGATCATTCCAAGTCTTTGACCATAGGTTGCCAAGAAGCCTTCTGGAAGAAGTTGGCACGCTTTCTATAGGATCTCAAACAAGCTTTTCTATATCAGTTCACAGTACATAGAAATCAAAGCAGAGGGCAACTCAGAGATCCTGCAGGCTGCTCATAGAACAAATGGCAAGTCCATATCATATTGTATTAGTGTCCTCTGGAAATTGCCTTTGCACTCAGCCTGATTAACAATTCCCTTTCATTGGTTGCAAAAATTGCTTAGACAGAGAGAATTTTGGAATCCCCTTATCTGCTGCCTAAAGATTTAAATATAATCATAAACCTATGCTGCATACTCTTCTTATTTTGCTCTTTTCACCCCAAGTCCCCATTAGGGATTTTGTTTGGTTTCTGTTTTGACAGCTTCTGTGTCTTTGTGTTTGTGGTGGTTGTTGCTCTGTGCTATTTCCAGATTTAATATCAGTGCAGTCACAGGATAAGGATGCACAGTTAGCATCCCACCCCCTCCCACAAAGTATTTTTCAAACTCCTGTTTGATGTACTGGTCAGGTTTGCAATTTTCACGTTGCTGTTGATCAGAGAACGTTGGATCAGATTTATTGTCCCCAATGGGGGAAAAGAGGGAGGGGTGCCCACCTTATACTCTCACATAGCTCCCTTTTCACCTAATGAAGCACAATTCTCCTGACTCTGCTTCATTCCCTCCCAATATATATTTAGAAAGGAGCCTAAACAAGAAAGAAAAGTGGGTCAGATTTTTTTATTTTATTTTTTGCAAAAGGCTACCTTGAATTTGTTGGGCACATAAATTGTTGGGCATTGTTAAATGATATCTAGGAGGAGGAGACTGCTGCTGCACTGGAAGTACAGCGCTGATTCAGGATGTGTTCAGACAAGAGAACCAAATGTGTTGATTTGTCCCTCATTCCTTGGGTGTTTGTAGTACTCACTGGGGGCTCACAGATCACTTTCCCCCAAGAATTTAGTGGCATAGCATGGGTTGATAGCGCCCAGGGCTGTATGGGGGGGGGAATGGAGTTTGCATGCACATTCAACTGCCTAACAACATCCATGTCACTCAGGACATTGTAGAGATAAGAAGAGTTGTTCCATTGTCCATACAGATCACTTCCTGGTTCAGATAGAGAAGCTATTTTCAACAGAGCTCAGCGACGGAAGCACATAGCTTTATTGAGGCAGCACCAGGTATTGAAATTTTGCATCCCTAAGAATTTTGTGCCCAGGTTAACAGCCCCTGTCCCCCCCCCCATGCTTAGCCACTGGTAGACACTGGTGCTGCTAGGTCAGGATTTGGGGGCAGATGTCCAGAGCCCCCATGCAGTAGAATGAGCTTCAGGGCGCCCAAATGCAGCATGCACCTGTTTAAAGAAGTGTAGCAGGGCCAGCCTACTTGAGGCCAAGAGAGGTGACCACCTCAGGCATCAGGATCTACAGGGGCAGCAGATCCTGATGTAAATCTTTCTTTCCGCCTTGTACCTGATGTGGGGAAGGCACCATTTTTTGGTTTGCCTCAGGTGCCAAAATGTATCGGGCCAGCCCTGAAGTGTAGCAATACATATTATCATCTAAAGTCCAGAGTCTACAATTACCTACCTGCACCAGTGGTTGTGGACATACCCTCAGACATACAGCTGTGGTTGCAATAACCTGCCATGGAAATATGATGTCCAAAAGGGGGAAACCCTTTGAGATGCCTTTATGAAGTCTGTATAGTATATTGTATTTTAAAATGGGGTTTCAGAGTTTTTAGGGGTTTTTGAATGTTTTGAATGTTTTATGTAGTTTTTCAATTTCATTGTTCTGTATGGGACAATGACAATAAAGATATCGTATATCGTATATGAAACTGAGAAACAGTCAAGGCTGTGCAAGAATAAACAGGTGAGGTGCTATTATGGATGGGGTGGATATGCAGAAAACCAGTGTAATTTATGTTCTGTGGTAGTGTTATTTTTAAGGGGTGGGGGAGATTAAAGAAAAGGCTATGATGGAACAATGACCCAATGGAGGGTTGAAACTTTCCCCTCTGTGTGGTAGTCCTCATACCCTGTTCTTAAACCTGCTATTGCCCCAAGAGAGAAGCTGCCATGGATGTTTCAAAGGAAACTGGGCACATTTACCTTCCCGGTCTACACTGTATGATCAAGGGGAACCATTTGGTGTCTGAGAGATCAAGATGGCTGCATTCTGTTTTTCAGGCTGCCCATTTTTATCCTCATGCGCACCTACATCTGGCTCATTGGTTCTACACCCTGAGTTAAGTTTGTCAGGAACATTTTAATGGGCCTCTAGAGGATTGGTTCAAACACTGGGAGAGCTTCTATCTGTGCTCAGCCCAGTAATTCACATGAACACAGTCAAGGATTCTTCTGGGCCCACTACAAAATGTACCATTGTTCTCTCTCCATTCCTTTCTCTTTCTGCTTTTGGTTTCTCTCTGTTGCTCATATTTTCCAGTCTTAAACCTCATCTCTCCATATTTCTACTTTAGTTTCAATTAAAATATTTTTTTAAAAAAATCATGAAAACAGTACTTTAGTGTCAATTTCTCCTAATGTACACATTTTTAATGCAATTTTGCCTGATATACACAATTCGGCAATGATTTTTCACCAATCTGATGCAATTTTTTTTTGCACTCCTTTGCATAATTTATTTGCACACATTATTCAGTTGAAGAATGGCATAACAAAATTCAGAGAAGGGCAAACTTTAAAGGGCAGTTTTGGTTCAGTTTGCATATTGTTTCAGATAATGCAAATTAGGTAGATTTGCATGAATTTCTCTGCTGGTCCTAATCCACAGTGGCTGAACAACAGAATATGGTGGCTGTGGTGGGTTAGAAGAGAAAGGGCCTTTCAGGAGTTGCCCTTTTTGGGTTATGGAACACTTTTTCCGAAAAAAAGACCCACCTGGTGCCTACTCTAATGTCATTTCTGGACTTTCCCCCTTTCCTAGGATTTTTCAATGAGATTTTTCCATGACAAAGCCCTCTTCCTCTGGTCTGCCATTAAATTACAAATAGAGGATTTCCCAGCAGCTAAGGGAAAATAAAACAAATTTGTGGAGGATAAGACTATATTCTACCTACATGTCAGAGACAGTATGGCCCTGAATACCAGTTGCTGGGGCCATGAAGAGGCTGCTTTTGCACTCAGGCCCTTCTCGTGGGGTTTCCATAGGTGTCTGGTTGGCCACTGTGAGAACAGGATGCTAGACGAGATGGGCCTTTGGTCTGATCTAGTGGGGCCTTTCTTATATTATTATGGATGTGGGTTTGTAGTTTAGGTAGCACCTGAATGACAACTTAGCATATGGCTAAGGGGACAATGTACACCCACCCATCCCACCACCTGTCATGATATGGGGCCTTGCCTGGGAGTGGACATGGAAGTCTCCAAGTCCTACTATAACAACTCCCATCATTCCTGCCTCTTGGGCATGCTGACCAGGGCTGATGGGAGTCTATGAACATCTGGAGGGCATCAAGTTGACTATCCTTTGTTTAGTGCATGCTGTTTTTAGTGCTAAACCAGAAGTGTTGTGGGGCTGGGGTTGGTGGTATCTCGGAGAAAAGGAGGCATAAAATGGGTTTCAGCTGCAGATGATCCACTAAGCTGCAGTGCTGCAGTGTACAGCTTGGATTAGCTGCACAGGTTATCACTTGCTTTTGTCTGTCTCATTTAATGCTCCCCAAGCCCCACCTTGCAATCACTCTTTTCGTGGGAATATCGTAACTTACAGGTGGATTAAAAAAACAACCTCTCTCTGTAGATAGCAGCAATGTTGCCACCTATTCCTCAGACCTCCCGGTAGTGAGATGATATAAAAGTGGAACTAGCAGGGGAAAGGACATACAGGAACATATGTAAATAATTCAACAAGCACTGGCGGAGGAAGAGGAGTGCGGGGGGAGCGGACTGCCCTCGGTAGTGCAATCCCGGTGGGGTGCCATCATGGCTGCCCCCCTGCGCTGGGCGCCACGCCCCTGCAGGTGGCGTGCCCCACCCCCAGGACACGCACCAGCCCCACCCCCACCTGCTCTCCGCCCCCCGGTGCCAGAGCACGAAGCTCCGCCACTGTCCACAAGTGGGACTTGCAACATGGAATGCAGGTGTTTCAGAGTCCAGCCAATCTATTCCATGTCCCCCACCCACATTCCCCTTCCCATCCTCCAGCATTTGGGCATCATAAGCAATGGCAATGGCATTCATAGTCTGAACATCAGAAGCAGACAAGAAGAGAAGAAGAAGAGTTTGGATTTGATATCCCGCTTTATCACTACCCGAAGGAGTTAGCCAAAGTGGCTAACAATTTCCTTTCCCTTCCTCCCCCACAACAAACACTCTGTGAGGTGAGTGGGGCTGAAAGACTTCAAAGAAGTGTGACTAGCCCAAGGTCACTCAGCAGCTGCATGTGGAGGAGCAGAGGCGCGAACCCGGTTCACCAGATTACGAGTCTACCGCTCTTAACCACTACACCACACTGGCAGAGGGATGATAGTGAAACCTGTAATCAGGAGCAGTGTTTGAAATGGAGATATGATAGCTAGGAGCTAAATGGCACCTTAAACCTGGTAATGGGTGCAACAATGGAATGTCTAGGCACACTTTTTCTTTATAACAAGAATACAAAGCTGACAATGAGTGAACTGCAGCTAAAATATTATGTTCATTTTTCACATGGTCTAGTCCTTCCCTTGCTCACCTACCCCTAATATTCTTAAGAGGGTCTCTTCTCCAGAGAGTAGCTGGAAGTGGGGAGGCAGAAAAAGGCCCTCCTTTCCTTCCACTCTGCAGTTTTAATCTGAAATCTTAGGCGTAGTACTGTGTCCAGAGCAGGGCTGGATTTTAGGTTTGATGCCCTAAGCTACTGAGGGTAATGGGGCCTTTTATATGTCCAGCTGTCCTTTTTCAACAACAAATTGTCGCTGTTTTGTGTGTTGTGCTATGTGGTAATTTATGGACCTGATAGGTCCATACACAACACAAAACACTGTTGCTGTATGTAGGTTTTATTTTATTTGTTTGTTTGTTATCTTATAATTTGAAAACGTACATCCAGGTTTTTTCCCCTTTAAATTTTTTTGGGGCCCTCAAGAGAGTGGGGCCCTAAGCTATAGCTTGTTTAGCTTATATGTAAATCCAGCACTGGTCCAGAGCTCAGAAACTGCTCACACTAATGAAATTCCCTGTCACAAACTGTGCCTAGAACAACTGGAGTTTCAAACACTGATCAGGAGTAAAGCACTGCAGCTGCATTCACAATTCTTCTGCTGAAAGGAAGAGTTTTGCTGCTGTTTATTGTTGCTTTTAATGGCTATAGATTCCATGGGATGGGGAGAAATTTGATTCAGTTTGCATTTCAAGGCAGATCTACTTATTTTGCACTTTGTGAAACAATACATGAACTGAACCACAGCCAGCCTTTGATGTCTGCACGTCTCTGACTTTTGCAATGCAGTTCTCTAGCTAGGTAATGTGTACAAAAAAATGCATATGCTAGGGCAAAGCAAGCGTAACAGTAAATATATTAGTTAAAACAGCGCACACAAAAGTATTACAGTGGTACCTCGCAAGACGAATGCCTCGCAAGACAAAAAACTCGCTAGACGAAAGGGTTTTTTGTTTTTTGAGCTGCTTCGCAAGACGATTTTCCCTATGGGCTTGCTTCGCAAGACGGAAACGTCTTGCAAGTTTGTTTCCTTTTTCTTAACACCATTAATACGGTTGCGACTTGACTTCAAGGAGCAACTCATAGAACACGGTGTGGTAGCCTTTTTTGAGGTTTTTAAAGACTTTGGTGATTTTTTGAAGCTTTTCCAAAACTTTCCCGACACTGTGCTTCGCAAGACGAAAAAAATCGCAAGACGACAAAACTCGCGGAACGAATTAATTTCATCTTGCGAGGCACCACTGTATATGAGGGGACTCTGCTTTGCAAAAAGAATGTCTATATTTAGGCAAAATTGCATACAAGTGTGTGTGTTTCAGGATCAAATTTCTCTAATATGCTGATGAACTCTCATGAAGGCTTTTTGCAAAATGCAGACTGATGTGGAAATGTAGAAATCTGAATTTAAGCCTGGGACAATGAGAAATGGAGAGAAACCCCCAAAAAGTCAGATTTTCATGTCCTTATATATTGCATTTGAATACTGTTCTGATGCAAGTCACTAAGGAAGGAGGTGGTAGCTATATAGATTTAATAAATAAGTAAATCTCAAACAGGACATTGTGGTTAAAATGATTGATGCATTTTGAACTATAGCAATGCCTGTTTTCAGTATATTATTATTATTATTATTATTATTATTATTATTACTATTTTACCCTGGGTGAGTAGGCCTATACCTGGCTGACTGTAGTGTTTGAGGCTGGTCTGTTTTTATTGTACAAAACCCAACATTTGTGTCTTCCGTTACCTCTTGGAATCCACAGTGCAATGTAATGTTTCACATCATCCTTATTTCTGTCTTCCCAGTCTCATCAGCTGGTTAAACAGCATCATGTCCTTGAGCTCAGCCACACAAAATGAAACCCTGTATAGTAGTGTGTATACAACTGGTATCGTGGTAGGGTTGGATGACCCCAATGACTGTGATTGATGATCCTTGAAACAGGGCAGCTAGAATAGAAAAGACCTTTTTTCTGCAACTAAAAAAGAGAATTATTGAGATAATTAGATCATTTTTATTAAGAAATGATCACATTCTTTTCTTTAAAAATGGGATTGTTGAATGCATGCATTCCTCACCCACTGAGCTGTTCTGTCCTAATAAAAGGATTCCCAGTGAAGGGATTGTCTTGATACCTATCCTTTATTTTCAATTTTGTGCAGCTTCTTTAAGTTAATGAGAGAAACATATGCAGCAAATGAATACAGACCATCCTTAAGTGTCCTGTCAAAAGTTCTGAAAATATAAAAATGGAAGAATCCTGTTGGATCAGACCAAAGGTCCATCAAGTCCCAGTATCCCCAGTCACCTACTACAGGTGTGGAATTCCCAATTGCTTTTGTTATTAAAATGACTATTTGGGTGGAAATGGCAGGGAAGCATCAGGAGAAACTCGCTAATGAAAAGAACTCCTCAACAAGGGAACCACCTGCCTCAGGGGGATGGGCTGGCCTTCACTGGAGATATTTCAATAGAAACTGGATAGTCACCTCTCAGGGTTGGGTTGGTTGTTGTTGTTTAGTCGTTTAGTCATGTCCGACTCTTTGCGACCCCATGGACCAGAGCACGCCAGGCACTCCTGTCTTCCACTGCCTCCCGCAGTGTGGTCAAACTCATGTTGGTAGCTTCGAGAACACTGTCCAACCATCTCATCCTCTGCCGTCGCCTTCTCCTTGTGCCCTCCATCTTTCCCAACATCAGGGTCTTTTCCAGGGAGTCTTCTCTTCTCATGAGGTGGCCAAAGTATTGGAGCCTCAGCTTCAGGATCTGTCCTTCCAGTGAGCACTCAGGGCTGATTTCCTTCAGAATGGATAGGTTTGATCTTCTTGCAGTCCATGGGACTCTCAAGAGTCTCCCCCAGCACCATAATTCAAAAGCATCAATTCTTTGGTGATCAGCCTTCTTTATGGTCCAGCTTTCATTTCCATACATAAGGTTGGGTTAAAGGACTGCTAACTCCATCCCAACTCTCTAATTCTATGATTGTAATTAAAATTACTCACATTCACTGGCCTTTACTCCTTGTCTTCCATGCTGCTGCATGATTTTGGCATGTGTTTGAATGCCAGTTGCCCAGAACTGCAGGTGGGGAGAATGGTGTTGCTCTGAGGTTCTGTTTGTGGTCTCCTCAGAGGAAAAAAGGGAAAGTCCTCCTCTTTGGGATAGAAAAGCAAAACAAGAAATAAAAAAACATCTAAAGAGGTTTGAGTCAGGGGAAAAACTTTGCTAGATTTTGTTTACCAGATTGTTGTGTGTATTGGATTGCAATATATGGTCTGTATGTTATGTTAGATGGTGGTGAAATCCATAAATTTATTATGCACTGTGTGTAGAAATATTTTCTCTGGCCTATCCTGAATCTGCTGCCAATCAATGCTTTTAAGTGACTCTGAGTTATAGAACAAACAAATAGTTTGGTGCTGCATATTTACTTTTTTCAGTTTGTACACACTATAGAAGATGGATGAGTGGGAGGATCAGGGCTTGAAAAAGTAGCACTTTTTAACCCTTTATGCCTGTGCCACGATCATGACAAAAATTGTCCCCAGTAGGGCTGTTTCTTTCCTAATGCAAATAGGGGTTTGGGGAGGGGTCTTTTGTTTTGACTGTGGTATGGGAATAAAGGATCAAAGAAACACTTCACCCCTACCATAGCCCTAATCTTAATCGTGCCCCTATGCCTCCCTCTTAAAGTGAAAATAAACACACAGAGCTAAACTATACAATTAAGTAATGTGTGGTGCGGGTTCTAGTGTAATGGGAGAGGGAGCAAAACATTTTCTGACCACTTCCTTCAAAGCATGTGTAGTTTTATGCATTGCCACTTTTATTGTCTTCTTTTAAAACAAAACATAAAAATATTATTATAATTTTTAATTAAGTTTTTGAAAAATTTTAATACATATAAAACGTAGCGATTTCAAACATTAAAATACAGAGTTCTTTCGAATCCTTAGATCTCCTTCCTTTCCTCCATGGGTTCCATCTTTAAGATTAAATTTACTGCATCTTTTACCCTTATCTAGCTATTATATAACCATAATTATTCCACATTATAAATGTCTTTACATCCTTGCCAAATATTTTAACTGTTTACAGTGGTCTTTTAAGTAAATTACAAATTTACTCCAGTCTTTAGAAAATACTTGATCTTCCTGATTTCGGTTCTTTCCTGTCAGTTTTGCCATTTCTGCATACTCCATCAGTTTCATCTGCCAGTCTTCTTTTGTTGGTATTTCTCCTTCCTTCCATCTCTGGGCTAGTAGCACTCTCACTGCCATTGTTGCATACATTAAAAGTCTTTTATCTTCTCTTGGAAACTCTTCACCTATAATACCTAGTAAAAAGGCTTCTGGTTTTTTAAACGAATCTATTTTTAAACATTTTCTTAAGTTCATTATATATCATTTCCCAGAAAGCCTTTACCAATGTACATGTCCACCACATATGGTAAAAATTGCCCTCTTTCTCTTTACATTGCCAACACAGTTTAGAACAGGCATAGGCAAACTTGGCCCTCCAGATGTTTTGGGACAACAACTCCCATCATCCCTAGCTAACAGGACCAGTGGTCAGGGATGATGGGAGCTGTAGTCCCAAAACATCTGGAGTGCCAAGTTTGCCTATGCCTGGTTTAGAACTTGTTAATAAAACAAAAAAAAATATTAAGGCTGCAATCCAAACCTTCTTCGCACTGACTGGGGAGGGTTTGAATAGGTGGAGATGCCCATCTTTCCAACCCTACCAGCTTCCACCAAACTTGGCCCACAGAGTGAGGCCAGTATCACTCTGCCAATGTGGAACTCCCCATCCCAGCTGACCTATAGAGGCAAATGGAAGTTCTGCCAGAGGATCAAGAGCTGGTCTTGCCCGGAGCTGGTGAAACAATTTGCCTGCCACTCCCCAGCTAGGGTTTGGACTGCAGTGCCAAGCATAACAAAACTTGATTGTATTCCATTCACCAAACTGCCCTTCTCTTAGCTGTTGAGGTTTTTCCCTTGACTATTGCTTTAAGCTAAAGGTAAAAGTAAAAGACCCCTGGACGATTAAGTCCAGTCAAATGCGACTCTGGGGTTGCGGCACTCATCTCGCTTTCAGGCTGAGGGAGCTGGCATTTGTCCACGGACAGCTTTCTGGGTCATGTGGCCAGCATGGCTAAACTGATTCTGGCACAATGGAATACCCTGATGGAAGCCAGAGCACACGGAAACCCTGTTTACCTTCCTGCCACAGTGGTACTTATTTATCTACTTGCACTGGCTTGCTTTTGAATTGCTAGGTTGGCAGGAGCTGGGACAGAGCAACGGGAGCTCACCCCGTCGTGGGGATTCAAACTGCCAACATTCCGATCGGCAAGCCCAAGGCTCAGTGGTTTAGACCACAGCGCCACCTGCATCCTTTAAGGTAAGAAACTGATTCAAATCAGTTAAGAATTCTGTTTTATGTTTTTGAACACACAAGCCATTTCATCTAAGGTGATACATCTGGCAACTAGAAGTAGGGCCTCCTTGATTGTGGCACCTTAATAACAGATATCTCTCTGTCTCTCTTCCTCTCTTATCTGGTCATCTGGCAACAAATCTGATCACTTATCAGAATCCAGGTAAAAATAGTTTGATTTCTCAGACATTTAATGGGCTCAGACATGAGGGCTGGTCAGGCAGTTTAGTAGCTTTCAATGCTCTTTGGGATTCCCCACCTGAAGAAAACAATTACTGTTGTGTTGTTTTGTTTTGATGGTTTTATTGTTATTGATTTTAAAATATGTTGTAAGCAGCCTTGGGAATTTTACGTTGAAAAGTAAAATTGATTTGAGCAAATGAACGAACAAACAAGGTTATATTTTCAGCAGTGGTCCTAACAAGCAGACATTAACCTCTGTATTTTGACACTCGTATGATTCTGTCTGTTATAGGAGTTTGGGGACTACAGTGTGTCCATGCTGGTACGGTGATAAAGAAAACTGACTTTGCATTCTAGGGCAGTGGAGAGTAACTGCATTTAACTGAAATTGGCTAGTGGCAATTTATAAAACTTTGCACCTGTTTTGTAGTTGATAAGCATGATGTTTTGTATTCATTTTCACATTTGCTTGATTTACTGTTCTTTTCTATTTACCCTAAACGTTTAAGAACCTTTTAAAGTTTACTTGGAAGATGCAGAAATTCTGTCCTAAACTAGGGTTGGACAAATCCATGAAATCTGCTTTCTCTCCATACCTCATTTTCCAGTCCTGAATTCAGTTTTCTCCATTTCCCCTTCAGTTTGTGATTAATATTTTTTTAAAAAAACACTGCATAGCAAATTTTTAATAATTTTCCCAGTACATGAATTTATATGTAACTTTGATCAATATATGCATTTCTGCAAACAGCTTTCCCCAATATAATATATTTCTGCGTACATCTTTGCTCAATGTACACATTTATTGTTGCAGAACTGAATTGCAAAATTCAGAGATTTGTGGATTTCAAAGGTGTATTTTGGTTAATGTATTGGTTTGGAAACTGCAAACAAGGTGCAGTACATTCACATTAATATTCCTTCTTCGTTCCTAAACTCAGCTGCTCTAAGCTCTTAAATTTTCAAATCTGCACACTATCTAGATAAATTATGTTCTTTAGTAAAGAAGGGCAGAGAAGTTCCCAATCTTCCTGAAAGGATTTTTTGTCCTTATTTCGAAGTCTTTCGGGTCCACTTCTTGTCCCACTGCTTGAGGCAAAACAGGGAATGCCACTTTGCGCTGCCACTGCTGCTACCACCTACCTCAGGGGTCAGAAAATTTTTCAGCAGGGGGCCGGTCCACTGTCCCTCAGACCTTGTGGGGGGCCAGACTATATTTTGGAGCGGGAAATGAATGAATTCCTATGCTCCACAAATAACACAGAGATGCATTTTAAATAAAAGGACACGTTCTACTCATGTCAAAACATGCTGATTCCCGGACCCTCCATGGGCCGGATTTAGAAGGCGATTGGGCCAGATCTGGCCCCCGGGCCTTAGTTTGCCTACCCATGACCTGCCTACTCTTGCCACCCCCTGCTGTGCCACTGCCATGCGCCCTGCCACATTGACTGATGGAGGAGAAGCCCTGCCACCATTGGTGCCAATTTCAGACAAGATTGTGCCAGTTTTGGATGAGATCCTGAAATCAATGCATTTCAATTTCCTCAAAAATTTCCATTAAAAATAAAAAAAACAGTTGTCCCCCCGCCCATGGCTTCAACATTTCCAGAAATTTTACGTCGTTTTACTGCCTTGTCATGTGGATCAGTCTGTTTTCTCCATATCGGTGCAAACATCTCAGAAAAGGTTGGTAGTGGAGTGAAAAAAGTCACCCAATTTCCATGGTGAACGCAAACAGGAAAAAACCAGTGTGGGGTTGGTCATTAGAGCTGTGGGTCAGGGAAACCCCTGATTTAAATCCTTGCTCAGTATTCTTTGGCTGTCTCTCAGACTAGCCCTACCTCACAGGGCTGCTGTGATGAGAAAAGAGAGCTGGGAATAACTACACTCCTTGAGTTCCTTGCAGAATAAGGTGGGATGTAAAGGTAATAATTTAATAACACTGTTTGTTATATGGAGCGATTTACTATGGCCCCACCAGGACGGCTACAACATGGATATCTGTATTTAAACTGGGTTTCCAAAAAATAAAACTCTATGATGACTCCCTAAACATGGCCATCAAAATACTGAAACAGGATAAAACAGGATAAAAATGTGTGGTTTTCAGTGACAGAGTAAGAATATGATGTTCAGCAGCACAAAGGCCCTCTGTCCATTAACTCAGCCACGGTGGTAAGCCATACATGCACAAGCACACAAGCACATGCATGCACACAAGCACACACTCTTACACAAATCTTAATCTTTGGCTCCAGATGTGGTAGATTGCCACAAACAGTCAGCAGCTAAAACCATTAATCTCTGCTGCTTGCCCAACTGGTACTAGTAAGTAAAGAAGATAATACACAAGCAGAATCAGTGACCCACTACAAATTGGTCCTGAAAGGTCCACAAGTCTAAATAGACTTTTGCTGATCCAACACTTGTTAGGAATCCCAACAAAGAGACTATTGCCTCATCTGATGAGCAGCTCGCTATTGGGCCTCTTGCAATGGTCGGTGATGGATGAGCAGCCTCCCTTTGAGGGGGAAGATGCAGCTCCTGGTATGGGGCCTTTTCTCATCTTAAATTTGTACTCAATAAATCACAGGTGCAGAGGAGACAGCATCAGTTTCATTACACCTACATGCTCCAGTATCAATCATGCCAACACAACGGACTGTGTGCAGTTCATTTCAAGAGACTCTCCGCCCTTCCCACTTAGTGTTCGACTCTCCAGTGCCATTTCCATTCTGCTGTACTTAAGGATTCCAAGAGTGTAAAGAGTCTGCTGTGTAACTGTGGAAAGGGGAGATGCACACAGGTCCTGTTCATGCAGCCTGCTGACAGGAACAAGAAGATTTACCTCCCAGCTTCTAATAGTTTCCTTGACTCTGGCTCTGCACAGTTGTTACAGTTGTAGAACCCCCTTCTCTGGTAGTCCTCTTGTTCCCAAGCAATTAGGGACGAAGAGAGCATTAATAGATGCACGGGCATGATTAAAGCACCCACTGATTAATCCGATATTAAAATGTAGATTTTGATCCGATCTTAATTGAAGCGGATGCCTACATTCAGGTTTTAACCATGATATGTGCAACAGGCTCCATGTGTCTCCGGCATATTAGCAAAATGACCTTCAGCAAAGAACCTCAAATTGCTAATGGCACAGAGATGCTGTAATACTTAGCTTAACTAGCTAATTAATCGAACCGAGAGTTGTTTCAGAAAGAACGGAAGAACTGTAATCAGTTGAGAAGTTCACAGTGCACTTTTATTCAAAATGGGAATAATTGTTCTGCTGCAATTGCTTTGGTGATAACACATCCCCAACCCAACTCACTCCATTCACACTGTTCATAGGATGTATGTTTGACAATATTAGAGTGTGCTTTCGATTGTACATGGCACAGTTTTTACAGAAAACTAATCATAAAAGAGATGAAATGAATTTCTACATTGTTCTGCCATGGCTTGCAACTGTCCAGGGCCCTCTAAAAGGCGCATTGTTCACTGCATTTTGTACTTTATAAAGCCATCACTATAACAACACTTGCATTGCCGTATTTATTCCAATGCAGACAGCTGAAATACTTTTGAAATAAATGGCTCTCTGGAGCTTTTTGGATGTTATATTTAACACATCTCAGCAAAAGAAATTGAAAGATATATGTGCAAAGTTATAGACAGAACTGAAGATACACACACACACTTGCGTGTATTAAAAAAAAGATAGGTGATAATTTTTGAGATTTGCAATGAAATTCTATACATCTCTACTCTGAAGTAAACATCACTGAGTTGAAAGGGGCTTACACCCTGGTAAGTATGTATAGGTTTGCAGCTGGGAGGGTAGCATGGTGTTGAAGAAGTTGATTCAGTCCCTCATTCAGATGTCAGCTGTGTTATGAATTCAATTAAATGGTCTTAGGCAAGTGTCCTTCTCTCATTTCTACAATATGGAGATAATAATAGTACCTTCGTGTCAGGGATATTGCAAGCAATAGTGCTTTCAACACTATTTTTGGTACCCAATCACACACACACACGCATAGGAACAATTGCGTTCTGTGCAGTGAAGTTGTCCTGGATTCCTGTCATTCTGTTGCATCCTGTTAATCTTTAGCTAAATGAAAAGCCACGTCAGCACAGACAAGATGGGTGTCCAAAGAGAGACTGAAATAGGAACACATTCACGACTGTCAGACAGAACGAGCTTTTCAAAAGGAACACTTCCATTCAGTTTAAACCTACAAGAATATTGGGCGGACACTTTCATTTATTTGCCTCAGGGCTAGGATGAGAGAAAAAGCTTTCGCTCTTATTAAAGCAGTGTTTGGAATTCTTTTTTTTTTTTTTGCCCCTTGGCTCTTTTTATTTTTTATCTTCGTTACAGATCATAAGATGTGAATATCATTATGGCAGGAATAGAGAGGAGAGGTCCTGTCATATACCGCTGAAAGATGATTTCTTGTGTTTGGTAGCAAACCTATTGCATTTCTTCAGTGTTTAGGAGAGATGTGCAATGATATCTGAGACCCAGTACGTTTCTGAGCACAATTCAAAGTGTTGGTGCTGACCTTTAAAGCCCTAAACAGCCTCAGTCCAGTATACCTGAAGGAGCATCTCCACCACCGTCGTTCTGCCCGGACACTGAGGTCCAGCGCCGAGGGCCTTCTGGCGGTTCCCTCTCTGTGAGAAGCCAAGTTAGAGGGAACCAGGCAGAGGGCCTTCTCGGTAGTGGCGCCTGCCCTGTGGAACGCCCTTCCACCAGATGTCAAACAGAAGAACAACCACCAGACTTTTAGAAGACATCTGAAGGCAGCTCTGTTTAGAGAAGCTTTTAATGTTTTAATGTTGTATTTTAATATTTTGTTGGAAGCCACCCAGAGTGGCTGGGGAAACCCAGCCAGATGGGCGGGGTACAAATAATAATAATAATAATAATAATAATAATAATAATAATAATAGCATAGCTACCATCATATTCCATCTTTCACCAGGACTGGAACAAGATACGTTGCTTGGAAGGGCATCCCAGGAGGACCCCATACAATGTGACAGAGAATGCTGGGGTGACTCTAAGGCTGAATGCAATCTTTGGATCACAAGACACTGCATTGACCTCTCTATAAGTATGTTTCTCCAACAGGCCACTTGTCTTGCTTACGCAGTCAGGCCCATTCTGATTCTTATTCCTCCTTGAGAGCCTTCCCTGCCCAGCAAAACCAACTCCCTAGTCCAGTGGTTCCTAAACATTTTTCTCCACAGACCACCTGAAAATTGCCGATGATCTTGGGGGATCACTTAATGGTTTTTCTTCCTGCAGCAGCCATTGCAATGCACTGTGCTAGGGGCTGCGCAGTTTTTAACTGCATTGATCTTGCTTCTTCTGGTTGTTATGTTGCATTCTGTTGTATTACAATTTGGCAGAGGCCGTTTTAGGGGAGTGTGACCAGTTTGGCTGCACTCCAGGGGGTACCACAACAACGCCGTAGAACAGTGTGAGAGGTGAAGGGGTGAATTTTAGTGTTGCACAGGGCGCAGTTGAAATTTGAGAGCTCAAAGTCTGCCACTACTTTCTGCATGGCTGAAATACTGTATAGCCTAGTGTGTATAGATTAGAGCATGGGTAGGCAAACTAAGGCCCAGGGGCCGGATCCGGCCCAATCGCCTTCTAAATCTGGCCTGCAGATGGTCCGGGAATCAGTGTGTTTTCACATGAGTAGAATGTGTCCTTTTATTTAAAATGCATCTGTGGTTTATTTGTGGGGCATAGGAATTTGTTCTTTTTTCATCTTCAAAATATAGTCCGGCCCCCCACCAGGTCTGAGGGACAGTGGACCGGCCCCCTGCTGAAAAAGTTTGCTGACCCCTGGGTTAGAGTCACATCTGTTGCTCTGACTACTTTTGTCCCTGGCCCTGCCAATGTTTGTTTCATTTAAAACCGGTCCTGAAAGACCTACATTGGCTCCCAATAAGTTTCCGAGCACAATTCAAAGTGTTGGTCTGATCCTTAAAGCCCTAAACGGCCTCGGTCCAGTAAACCTGAAGGAGCGTCTCCACCCCCATCTTTCTACCCAGACACTGAGGTCCAGCGCCAAGGGCCTTCTGGTGGTTCCCTCACTGCGAGGTTACAGGGAACCAGGCACAGGGCCTTCTTGGTGGTGGCGCCTGCCCTATGGAACGCCCTCCCATCAGATGTCAAGGAAATAAACAGCTATCTGACTTTTAGAAGACGTCTGAAGGCAGCCCTGTTTAGGGAGGTTTTTTATGTTTGATGTTTTATTGTGCTTTTAATTCTGTTGGGAGCCACCCAGAGTGGCTAGAGAAACCCAGCCCGATGGGTGGAGTATAAATAATAAATGATATTATTATTATTATTTCTGGCTCTGCCCACCCTTGGCTTGTGACCCTGAGAAGGTTGCCCAGAAGGGAATGCAGCTCTCTGACTGAAAAAGGTTCCCCATCCCAGTCTAGACCACTACTGTATACTTTCTTACTGACAGAAGTTCTCCAGGACCTAAAGCAGGGATATTTCCCTATCACCTGCTCTTTTTAACTGAGGGTGCCTGGGATTGAACCTGGAACTTCCTGCGTGCAAAAGATGCTCTCCAGCAATGCTTTGTGGTCCCTCCAGATATTTTTTAATTTCTAGCTGTTTGCAAAGCCAGAACACTGCAATGTATTGTTTTAAATATTCATTTGATTTTAAGTATAAATGCATATTAGTTTTTATTGCGAATTGCCTGGAGAGATTGGGAAAGCTGTTGTTGGTTTGTTTTTTAAGCCAACAAATAAATAAGATATATTTTGAAGATGGTGCTGTACGGAATGGAAGAGTGCATTTGAGTTTATTTCATGCAGATTTATGTCATGTACTTCTGATGTATAAACACGGGGGTTCTCCCACTTGAAACATTTATCAAGATCATTTTGTGCTCCCATTGTGATACCTCGTGTTAAGAACTTAATTTGTTCTGGAGGTCCATTCTTAACCTGAAACTGTTCTTAACCTGAGGTACCACTTTAGCTAATGGGGCCTCCCACTGCTGCGTGATATCTGTTCTCTTCCTGAAGCAAAGTTCTTAACACGAGGTACTATTTCTGGGTTAGTGGAGTCTGTAACCTGAAGCGTCTGTAACCAGAGGTACCACTGTACAAGGAAATTAGACTACAATGGTATGCATCTGACAAAACAAGTTGAGTATGCAAGGCCTATGCATTTAAGAAGCCTTTTGATTGTCTCTTGCAAAACAAATTAACAACAACAACAACAACAACAACAACAATAATAATAATAATTTATTTGTACCCTGCCCATCTGACCAAGTCCCTGCAGCTATAAACTATGTAGAATCAGAATTGCAGAGCTGGTGGAAACCCCAAGGATCATCCAGTCCAGTCCCCTAGGTAAAGGTAAAGGGACCCCTGACCATTAGGTCCAGTCGTGACTGACTCTGGGGTTGCGGTGCTCATCTCGCTTTATTGGCCGAGGGAGCTGGTCATGTGGCCAGCATGACTAAGCCACTTCTGGCGAACCAGAGCAGTGCACAGAAACGCCATTTACCTTCCCGCCGGAGCGGTACCTATTTATCTACTTGCACTTTGACATGCTTTGGAACTGCTAGGTTGGCAGGAGCACGGACCGAGCAACGGGAGCTCACCCCATTGCGGGGATTCGAACCGCCGACCTTCTGATCGGCAAGTCCTAGGCTCTGTGGTTTAACCCACAGTGCCACCCGCGTCCCGTATAAACTATGTAGAATCAAAATTGCAGAGCTGGTGGGAACCCCAAGGATCATCCAGTCCAGTCCCCTACAATGCAGGAATATGCAGCTGTCCCTTATGGGGCTTGACCCTGCAAGGTTGATATTATCAGCATCATGCTCTAACCAACTGAGCTGTTCTAGCCTCTTCAGTAGAGGAACTTACTTTAAAACAAAAGCATCTGGTGTTTTTTCCCCTTTTTTTCTTTTTCTGCAATTAAACCAATAGTATAGGCCACCTATATTTAAGTGCACAATTGGTTATTAAGCAAGTGGTTTGACCCAGAGAGAAGTGCAAGGCTTCTGGTTTATTGGCTTTTAAAATTAAGGAGCAACAATGTCATAGCCAGGGGATATGAAGCCACTAAAATCCTATCCTTTAAATGCTTCAAACAACTTAAGAGCACTGATTTATCACATTCTTATAGTTTTCTTTTGGAAACTTTGGGACTGATCCAGATTGAAAAACCTTTCCAAGTTATCCCCCCCGCCTTTGATGGAGGGGGGGCAGGGGAAGCACTCCATCATTTGTTAGATGAATGGCGGTATCAATTTCTGTTTAAACATGAATAGGGTGATGCCAAATATTAGTCAGTTCCTAATAATTTTGAGGGATTAAAAAGATAATAAAAGTAATAGTCCATTACATTACCTACTTCAGCAAGATTGTAATGAACATAATAAATTCCAGATCAGGGTTATAACAACTTCCATCTATTCAAAATGAATTTGTAGGGTTACTTTCATTAACTATGTATATGGAGAAAATGATCTGACATATTACTTTAAAAGAGCTGTAAAACCGATTAGAAGGAAATATGCTTCCCAGACAGCGATTCTGGCCGCTGGGGAAATTTTATCCATGGGAAGGAGCAAAGAGAAAGAAAGAAAGAAAGAAAGAAAGAAAGAAAGAAAGAAAGAAAGAAAGAAGAGGAATGTGGAATTTAAAGGATGACAAGAGCACTGTTACTTTTACATACCTCCCAGGCTGTTGGGGAGATATGATGAAAGTATCAAGGGCTGGAAACCAGGAAGAGATTGAAAGCTGTGCCTCTCTCTTCTTTGTGGCTGCTCTAAAGGAAGGCTCTCACCGCTGCTAATGAATCGAAAGGGTCCCTCCTCCATGCACTGGGAATTTCCGCATAGAAATGAAACTGTTCCTGGCACTGGGATGCCCTTTTGGCAGCCCAGGGGAAGGCTGAAGTATTAAAGGGAACCATGCCCTCATTGCTGAAAGGAGGCAAGGGAGCCAGCACTTGACTGCACTACAGAAATTACTGCGGCACCTAGAATGTTGGCTTCATTTATCAATTTCATAGCAGCAGGAGAAGGAGGGGGAGCCCCATATGCCTGCCTTTTCAGCTGTGCGCTAAATCTAGTCTCCAAAGCCAGCCATGTGTGTTATAAAGAGACTTGGAGAAAGTAACTTAATACTAATGATTTATACCTAATTGGACTTCTAAGTGATTAAAGTGGCAGTAATGAATGAAAAAAAGAAAGCCCTCCATCCTCCTAATATGCATCTTTCTCCCCCAATTTGGCTCAAGAGACACAGCGCATAGGGAGGTTTGTTTGCTGGGAGTCTCTGCTCCAGCAGACGGAAAGATCTTTCGAAAGCATGACTGAAACGTGTCGCTTTTCTCACTTTGGGGCGTCTTCGCAATAAATGAATCCAAAGTAGTCGGTTTTAAAAAACAGAGAGAAGATTTAACTGCAAGTTTTAACACATGTGGATTTGGAAAACTGCTTTTTACGAGGAAGGAAAACCATACAGTGTTTGTTCCAAACACACATGGAGAGAGAGTCATGTTACAATGAGCACTGATGTTCACATGACCTCAAGTGTGCGGGGAATCCAAGTTATGTTATGGCAACACCATCTGCAGCTGCTTGTCCTGCCATGTGTGTGAATGGGTGGAGAGGAACAAAAAGAAACTTTTGCAGGTGCCGTAGAGCATGGATTCGTGTCTTTATCAAATATATTTTTTTGCCAATTTTTAAAGTAAAAAATTAGTTATATTCCATTGGCATGGCACTCAAAGTGCACCAGGTAAATCTGAAATAATAAATTGATTTACGGTACCTGTGTAAGTATTCTTTTTGATTTGGGGGGGGCAGGAATTAGTGTAGCGATTTTATTCCTGTTTTTGTCTCATGAAAAGACTAATTTTCAGATGTGATAAGGGATCATAGACTCGTAGAGTCGGACGGGTTCTCGAGGGTCAACTAATCCAACCCCAATGTCTGTTTGTTTTCTAATGGCATTATTCTGTTCTTGCTCTCCCCACTAACAAGGCACAATGGCTATCCAGTTGCTCAACCTATCCTGAACTGAGAGAGTTTTCTCAAGCAGTATTTATGGACAAAAGGCATAAATGTCTCTACTTTAAACAGTTGCAGTAGGAGGCAATCTAGGAGTCATCTGATCTCATATGGCCATAGGAGTTCCTAGAATATCTGTCATTTATATATTAAACAATGGACACATTGTTTCTTGATGAAGATGTTGACTCAGTCAATGTGCGGCAGCTGTAAAAAAAGGCAAATTCCGTGCTAAGGATCCTTAGAAAAGGATCCCTTTTTTTTAGAAAAAGAGGTGGTGGAACTTTTTTTAGGGGAGCACCTTCTCTTCTTCACCGCTCGCCCCAATGCCACTTTCAGTGACATTGACACCGACTCCCACCTCCTTCATGCAGGAACGAGCATAGAGCCAACACAGTCGTAGAGCCAACATGATAATCATGCATCCATGATCACCATGCCGCGCCTGACCCAAGTTCCGATGAATTCTGGCTGGGGAAAAAACCCCCTGAGAAAATGAATATAAAACTGCCAATACCACAGTGCCAAACAACTCAGGACCCCAATACCTCTAGGATCGCCTCTTTCCATATGAACCTACCTGGACCATGAGATCATCTTCTGAGGCCCTTCTTCATGTGCCTCCTCCTTGAGAGGTCCAGAGGGTGGCAACACGAGAACGGGCCTTCTCTGCAGTGGCTCCCCATTCATGGAATGCTCTCACCAGGGAAGCTCACCTGGTGCCTTCATCATGCATCTTTAGGTGCCAGGCAAATACATTCCTTTTTAACCAGGCCTTTGGTTAATCTGATTGACATTGTATGCCCTTTAAAAATGTGTTTTTTTTGGGGGGGGGCTATTCAGTGATTGTTTTTATTATTATGATTATGTATTTTGTGGTTTTATATCTTGATTTTATTCTGTGAACTACTCCTGGGTATAGGGCGTTATATAATTCAACCAATAACAATAATAATAGTAATAGTAATAATAATAATGGACAAGTAAGAGGCAACATGTCAGAAATTTATAAAATTATGCAGGGCAGGGATGCCAGCTTGAATAAAATATTTCAGGGGCCAGGTAATCCCTGCCCCTTAATCAATCACAAGACGCAGTGTGCATACACTATTTGAATGGCAATGCCTCTCAACTTTGGGGGACTCTGGCCCCCTCATATAGTTTACTGGGGAGTCTAAGGGACCTCGGCTCCTAGGAGTTGGCTCTCATGATGCAAGGCATGGCATGGAGAAAGTGGATAGAGAAAAGCCCCCTCTCCCCCCCCCACCTTCATAACAATAGAACTCGTGGATTTCCGCTGAAGATGGATGTTGGAACACTGAGGACAGCTAAAACCAGGTTCTTCTTCACGCAGGACATTGTTAACCCAAGGAACTGATTCCCACAGGTGGGAATCATGGCCCCACACTTGGATGGCCTTAACAAGTTCATGGAGGAGAGGGCTATCAAGGGACTGTCTCGCCAGAGTGGTGCATGCTCTAGTTATCTCCCGCTTGGACTACTGCAATGCGCTCTACGTGGGGCTACCTTTGAAGGTGACTTGGAAACTACAACTAATCCAGAATGCAGCAGCTAGACTGGTGACTGGGGGTGGCCGCCGAGACCACATAACACCGGTCTTGAAAGACCTACATTGGCTCCCAGTACGTTTCCGAGCACAATTCAAAGTGTTGGTGTTGACCTTTAAAGCCCTAAACGGCCTCGGTCCAGTAGACCTGAAGGAGCATCTCCACCCCCATCGTTCTGCCCGGACGCTGAGGTCCAGCTCTGAGGGCCTTCTGGCGGTTCCCTCATTGCGAGAAGCAAAGCTACAGGGAATCAGGCAGAGGGCCTTCTCGGTAGTGGCGCCCGCCCTGTGGAACACCCTCCCATCAGATGTCAAAGCGATAAATAACTACCTGACATTTAGAAGACATCTTAAGGCAGCCCTGTTCAGGGAAGTTTTTAATCTGTGATATTTTACTGTATTTTTGGTTTCTATGGAAGCCGCCCAGAGTGGCTGGGGAAACCCAGCCAGATGGGCGGGGTATAAATAATAAATTATTATTATTATTATTATTATTCTAGTTATGGTGGCTGGACTGGGCCTTCACAGCTGGAGGCAGCAATGCTTCTGAATACCAGTTGCTGAGAACCACAGGAGGGGAGAGCGCTCTTGTGTTCAAATCCTGCTCGAAGGTTTCCCACAGGCATCTGGTTGGTCACACCGAGAACAGAATGCTGGACTGGATAGGTGGCTGGACTTTTTCAGCAGGATCTTCTGATGTTCCTCATGAGAGCCCCAGAAGCAATGCATAATGAATCAGAAAAGCCCAGCTCATGTTAATGGTTGAATTAATATTGATATTGGAACAGGGAGGGGAGGTAGAAGGGCCATTGGGATATAGGGACCCTCCGAAAGTCTTGCGAAGCAGTTCCTCTTCCTGTGGTGGGGAAAGCCACGTCTCCAGTGGGGAAGAGGGAAAGGGATCAGGGGATGCTGCCGGGAGCCCCATCACCGCTCCTGGTCAAGCCGGCCAGGAGGGAGGCCCGCCTCTTCCGTTGCCCACCTTGCTCAGAGGGGTAAAGCGCAAAGAAGGAAGAAAAAGGCTGGGGGTGACGAAAAAGCCACTCCCGGATTCTGCTAGCGATTGAGGTAGACATGAACTTTGGGGTTCTGCACTGTAAATAGTTTTTGCACCAAATAAAACCTGTAAAAGACAGGTTGGAGTCCTGCCTGGTTACTCGCGAGCAACCACCCCACCATCTGACAGATATAGTTAGTAGAGAAAGTGTTTCTGTGCATGTGTGTTGTGCCAAGTTTGGCTTCCAGCTATAGCCCCACAAACTTTGCCAGATGCTGAAAGGGAGGACTTTTAATGTTCATCAGCATTTTTTTCAGGGTGTATGGAAGGGCTTTTGTGGCATCTGCTGCACTCCTGGTACTTGAAGAACTGACTTCAGTGTTCTTGAAGAGCCTAGCTTTTATCACCACCATCATCATCTCATGGTGTGAGACTGAGATTATTTGATTATAGTTTGATTATTTGTTTTCACTCCAGTGCTCCGGGAACCCCAGCCACCCTACACTCCAAAAAGCTGGAATTAAAATATTCTGTAACCTCTGCATAATTCTGTAACCTGTACATAATTCATTGATATTGGGATTTCTTTAGTGTAGAGTCACAGAGGCCCTGATTTGTTTAGCTTTAAACATGTTGATTAAGGAGTATTTGACAGGCAAAATAATTGCAAAATACCCTCAGATTTCATCACACACATAGACGATGGGTATTCAGCAGGCATGGGAACTTCCTTATCAGATTCTGAGTGCTGATTGCTATTGGCAATGGGCTGCTGTCACGGGTAATAAAGTGGGAGAGCAGGTGTCAAAGGAACTGCCTGATTAATAGAGCATTACTTACGATGCCATTGACCCGTAACACAACCTTTGGGTTTAATTCTGCTTGTCATGCTGGCATCAGCCTGGAACAATGCCACCGAGGCCGAGGCAGCTGAGAACAGACTTGGTGTGCAACCCAATCCCATGTCTATTTCATCAGAAGGAAGTCCCATTAAGTTCAGTGAGTTTACTCCAAGGTAATGCACCGGATTGCAGTTTTAGTCAATCTGGGTCTCAACAAGGACATTGGACAACCTCTGGCACCACACTAAAGAACTAAAGAGTTGTCAACACAATCTAAAAATGATCTAATGCAGGCTTCCTCAACCTTGGCCCTCCAGATGTTTTTGGCCTACAACTCCCATGATCCCTAGCTAGCAGGACCAGGTCAGGGATGATGGGAATTGTAGTCTCAAAACATCTGGAGGGCTGAGATTGAGGAAGCCTGATCTAACGGCATACATTTCCAGAGA